GCTGTCTAGAAGTCCACTTACGTACTGCAGGTATATGGACGATTGTCGTGTATACTAACACGGCTCAGTCCGAGATGGGCGAGTGTTTCAAACTATTGGATCAACAATCCCAGTATACAAGATCCACTAAAGAGGAACCAAACGAAGGTTGGTTACCTTATCTGAACACCCTATAGATGCTGACCTCTGATGGTACGTATAAAAATGGTGTCGCAAACAAAGCTGTAAGGATGTCCTTTTACACGCCAAGTCCGCCAGCGTGCCATCTTACCTAATATGTTCTAAACGGCAAGTAACATCTGCAGTCGCGAGAGTGAACTCAAGAGTCTCAAATGCTGGCCTCCGCAATAGCAGCCTAAAACGGCTACTTTTCGGCTAGGTTTACACGCTTTCGAAAAACAACTGCAAGTTTCAATGACAGATCTAAACTGACCCCTCTCAGCTTACCATTTCTTTCAGACAGGGTGACACACGCAATACGAAATTGTTTATACCTCTCAGTGTTGCGTCATTTACCCTCCGGAAAATCTGCGTTGCACGAGATTTGAAGCAGTTTACGGACTCGAATGCTTAGACTGCCATACTACGTATATTGGCGAAGCCGGGTGACCACTCTACATACGCATGAACGAGCGAGCAAAAAACGGGAAAGCACAGGAAAGTCGATCACTGCGGCAATGATTCGGAATTAAGTGCGCTGTCTTAGCTCTAAAGACCAAAATTTCCTCTCGCAAAGCGTTGAGGCGTCATTCATTCTATCGAGAAAGTCCAAAATGAATGGCAAAAATAAACAGTTTTCTACCGCAAGTGATCTTATGCAATTTCTGTCATACTGCCAGCTATGACGCCCATTACAAAAACGGATCACTAGTAAGATCATGTTTATACTCTCGTCGTGTGTGGGTGAAGCTAGGCATTGCCGCGCCAGCATCGTAGGACGTGTCACGGTGACCCTTGGTGAGTTGCTCATGAACTGAAATCGTTGTTGTTTACTTATATCGAACCGTCGAGTCTGAAGCTGAGGTTTGGCCGTGTTAGTGCAAGACAAAGATGATTGACTAACTTTCAGGCCCTTGAGGAAGGCACTAGTGCCGAAACGTTAGCTCGAATAAAGCAATTATATCAAACCTGTCTGGCAAAGAAAGCACTTGATTATACAACACGATGCCCAAGAATGAGCAGAGGACGTACAAGAAGTCATGATTTTTCAAACATCAAGCAAATATTTGCGCCAACCTAATAAAAACGATAAATTACACAGTTATTATAGCTTTAACATGAAATCTTTACTTTTGATGCTTTTTAACTTCTTTGGTAATGCACACACCTAGAAAAGACTACTATTATAGAAGATTTTTCAAAAATAAAAGTGTGATTTACCTTCTCACCCGTCCATTGCACTTATTCACCTTTTGAAGTGAACACAAAGGGAGCGTTGAGGGCTACTACGACAGCACTCAACCTGGATCCACTAAAAGTGTGAGGAATTTTCACAAGGGCATCTTTCAAGTATTATTCGGACACACAAGTTGACAGCCACGAGTGTTCAAAGAGCATTGAAGGAGGTAAGAAAGGACATCACAGATATTACAAAGTTTGGATATTACCCTGCTACCTGCAAGAGGCAATTCAAGAGAGTGCATGCGGTTTCGAAAAAAACAGAAAAAACTCACCCTTGCGTACATTTGATAATTCCTACTACATTGATGCCAGCGAATACGATTGCGATCGCGTAGATAATTTGAGCCAATCGGGCAACATTAGCAAGAAATATTTTTATTTTCATTTCAATGGGAATTTACCTAACTTTCCCTTGAGAAAGTAGGAATTTTTTCCAGAAAAAGTTTTATTTTATGCTTTATCGCTAAAATAAAACCACACATATGCAAGTGCGATCCACATATAGCCATGATTCCTTGTGGCAATGCACCTAAGCTAATAGATCGCCATTATTAAAAAATGCAGGTGGCTTTGCCAGATGTCGATCCTACGAATGCAAGCTTTCTACCCATAATCGAAAAACATACGCCGAGCATACATTTATCGGTGAGTATGGCTCTGATGATTTTCCATGATGGTAAGAAAATGTTATCAAAAGTCTTAACGAAGCTATGGGGGAATCTTTTGCCTTTTTTCACAGTGTTTTCCAAAAGAAATTTTTGCTAGTTCCTCGGAGACAACACATCTGAAAGAAGGTAAGATATAAGGACTTGTTTGTCATACGGATCATATGCTTAGCCGCATCCAATGCAGAAAAAGTGATATGCAAACACATAAGCACTGATAGTAGTTCCTAAAATTAAAAAATTCAAACTTCGACTAAATTGCAGGTTCTATTTCGACAAATAACTGCTGCCCACCCATGTAAAAAGTGCAGGCCATCCAAATCGGCTTTCACGTATGAATTTATAGACTGGCATAGTAAAGATGTTGCAAATTGTAAAAGCCCTAAAAAACCAGTATCTTGATACGATATGAAAAAGACCATCGCAATACCGACGCAACAATAAAAAAGTGTGAAGAAAGTAATTGAATGCGGCCTGATGGGCGGGAACGACGCCAAAAAAAGAGCACAGTTTGATTCACCGCCCTTGATTTGGCTGCCTACATTTGAAGTCGCGAATCAATCAGAAGCCGCGACGGGTTATTACACCGTCGCGACTTCTGATTGATTCGCGACTTAAATTTTAAATTTCGCCCGCATTATTTCAGTATCGCGATTAACCCGAAAGTCGCGACAAAAGCGGGTTCACCGCAGCAGCACTCATTTTATCGCGATACCCCATTTTGTGGGCGGATCTACTGCGCGAGCTAACCATAGCCAACCATAACTGAGGAGTGGATGCTCTTCTGAACTAGAAGGATTTTTCTTTCAGTCTTTGATGTGACATATTTATACAAGTTATCTTTACGCTAAAACTTTCGTTTGTAATCTATTGTCGTTTATTTCACCTTAATGTAAATAAAGTGCTTTTATTTGAGTTGATTAGTAGGCAGTGGCTGACGACGGTAGGCAGGGGCCCCCCCCCCCCGAGAATGGGTCGCGAAATTTTTGAAACTTACCTATATGGGTTATAAAAATGTGCTTTTTAAAAATTCAATTTAGTCTCTTAAGAAAATTTTTTCGGGGGCGATGCCGATGCCACGCACCTTCATTTGAAAAAATTGTTTGTCGCTTCCCCCCCCCCCCCCCCCGGTCCGAAATCCTGGGATCCGCCACTGTTAATAGGTACTTCGCTCGGTTTTGCGGCTCCTACAGATGCTGCAGACATTTTTTGTCCAGTATTCGGTAACGCTGGAAAGAGCACTTCAACGACAATTGGGACTGAAAAAAATCTTTTCAAGTGGAATTTATTTTGCAGTGAAAGAAATCCACATGAAGTGACAGAAGTGACAGTGAGAAAATCCAGATTTCTCATTGAATGCAAATATGGGGAAGTATGGTTTTATGGTCAAAGAATTTTGAAACGTTAGAAGATAATTTTTTCATAGTAGCTAAGAAGAGAAAACCTTTTTGTGTCCGAATAGAGCATGAAAACGAAGCGTCGAAAGTTGCAAATTGAGCTTTTGGAATTTTAGCCATGCTAGGGCATAACTGTACCTTGTTGATAATTTGAAATTTTGAAAAGTTGTATGTCATAGAAAAAGCTTTGAACTACTTATCCACATAATATCACATAAATAAGGATCAACTGGGAAACTTTTTATGAAGATTTTCACGCCAAAACGAAACTGATATTTAGCTAACCCAATAATAGGTCGTTTCCCTTTGGCATGCGTAATGATTTGTGATAAGGGTGCGGGGCAATTTTTGCATTTTTCTGAAATGGTGAAATTTAGAAATGCATGGGGCACTAATGCAACTGTGGTTCCTCGCTCTCCACCGTGTTTTGCATGAACGCATTTATTCGCGCATAGATAATCAAATGCTTAAGAATAATCTTCAAAATATTCGCTTTTATGTAGTACACTTGCTCGAGTGATCATCAGATGAAATTCTGAGGTGAAAGAGATTGTAGTTCGCAGTTTTCCCATCGATGATTACCATTACAAAGGCAAATTGTCGGTTTTCAAATGCAAAACATTTAGGAGAATGAATTAAACGTTAAACGGTTAATATGCATAGAATAATGGGAGTGGTATGAAAGGAGAAAGCTGTGCTTGAGTGTGCTATCATCACAGCCAAAATACTTACATTAGGAAAACAACGGTCGCTTGAGCTGCACCGGCTGTAAGCTTCGTGATAGTTTTCACAAAATCAATCGATAAAAAAGTTCCGCCTTTCTGATTTATAGTGTTGGTCATGAGCTCTATTGATGACAAACTGTCCAGACATTTCTCAACGTTAAAGTAACAATCGCTTGAAAAGTTGTTTTCTTCAGATGTACTTCGCTGGTCGATTTCGATACATAGTCCTTGCGCTAAGTTTGGCCTGCTTGACACTGTTCTTTTCGAACGGTTTAGCACTGAATTTCACTATTATCTGCATGGATGATGTGAAAATGGATTATTATAGTGATAATAAAAACACTACAGAAGGTTAACTTGGACACAGATCTCATATGTTCAGGTTTTTCTTGAAGCAACTTTTTAATACACTGGCTGGATTCTAGCGAACACAAAAATTCTCTGTTCTCGGCAGTCGCTTAGGTTGCATTCTTGGCACCGTGCCAAATTTGTTGCTCATTCAAAAGTTTGGACTACGGTAAGTGCCTTCACTCCTTCTTTTGCACCCGATTTGGCTGCGTACAAAAAAACCCAACAAAACCCAACAATCTCATTTTTAGTGCGGCTGCCGCAGTCAGTGGTCTTCTGTCAACCATCGCGACTTTGTCTTTCTCTTTCGCTGTGAAATATGGATTCGCAGCCGTATTTATAATGCGAGTACTACAAGTAAGCTAAAGAAGCTGAGGAAAACTCCCTCTCCCTCTATAACAAACAAAATTGCAGGGTGTAGGCATTGCACTGGCATTTCCCATGACTGCTATAATACCAGCACAATGGTCAACATTGAGATCTACTGGTACATTCATAGCCATATTGTGGTACCATTCACAGGTAAGCTTCGCGAATGGCGCACGGTTTTGGGAGCGATTATCAATTTATGCTTTTGCAGCTCTGCAACATTTTAACTATGCCAGTTTCTGGACCTATGCAAAAGTCGACTTGGATGGCCTGCAGTCTTTTATTTACAGGTGGGCAGCAGTTATTCTCCTGATAAAAATGTGAAGATCTAGTCGATATTTGAATTTCTTGATTTTAGGGAATACTGTCAGCGCTTATATTTCTTACTTACCATTTCTTTTGCACTGATAATCCGGCTAAACATAAGTCAGTCTTATTGCACCAAAGTTGATGCCGTATAGGGTACAAGCCTTCAGCACTTACTTTCTTATAGATGTGTTGGCCCCGATGAATTAGCGAAAATTTCCTTTAGAAAAAGCTGTGAGAAAAGAAAGAAGATTCCTTACAGGTTTGTTCCAATTTCTTGTATCGTTGATTCATTGTTCGCACGAGCTGCTCCAACGCTGCGGACCACGCGCGGCGCGGCTAAAATGTTGCGAGAGCACGATTTGTACAATGGCGAATTTGCACTGGGGCAAGCTGGTTTTTATCCCGCGGCGCGTGCTCCGTAATGATGTCCAGTCCGTGCGGTCAACGAATGAACTAGCTTCTCAAACATTCAAATGCTAGACAGTTGTTTTTTCAGAGCCATTTGCACTGATGAATGTATACTCGGCATATGGCTTTCGGTTACGGGCAGTACCTTTGCATCTTATATATAAAGCTGAATGTCTGTTTGTATGTCTGTCTGTATGTACGTATGTTGGCAAATGGGGGTGATCAGCATGCTCGATTACACCCCTCTGCCAAATTTCAGCCCCCTAGCTCAAATTTTGCAAAAAATCGATAAAATCGACATCGATCGATAACGAAAAGTGGACTGTGACACCCGCCGGGGCCCGAAGTGTATGTGTGCCAAGTTTGGTCCGGATCGGTTAAGAAATGGAATTTTCTATTCGGAACATACGGCGGAGCCGGGAAGCCAGCTAGTTCCTAATATTTCTGTTGTATGGTCCAACATACATCAGTAAGGTAACAACAACAACTCTAGCAAACCAAATTTTTTAACCCAATGTTTTTTTTTCAGATTCTTGGCTTGAGCATCGCTTCGACAGGATTCGCCACCGCATCGCCACATATTCTCTCAGCCGTTGTAAAATTTGCGATAGGACCAATATCTGACAAAGCCACTTTCATTTCCGAAAAGTGGCAATTTATCTTCATTGTCGCATTATCACAGGGAGTGATGGCCATATGTGTACTTGCGCTTGCACTTGTGAGGATTCTATTTCAGCAAGAATATGAAAGAAACAGTTTGCCGGTTGAAATTGCTCGTTATTTTCTAGAGGAAAACGCCACAAATTTGCCGATTTTAAAATAAAAATGAAGGAATGAAATGTAGTAAAAAAATAATAATATGTTGCACTTATTTCCATCCTTTTTCAAGCTCAAAGATGCTCAACTTGCCCAAATTATCTATACGACTACAATCGTTTTCAGTGGCATGAGCGTAGTGGGAATTACCAAATGTGTGCAAGTGGTAGATCTTTCTTGCTCATTCCAAGGCAGAAGCCTTCAACTCACAAAAACGAAACATTTGCTAGTTTCTAGGAGTTCTTTTTTTTGCAGGTAGCAGGACAGTATTCACATTTTGTGATATCTGTGGTCTCCTTTCTAACATCCTTTAACAGTCTGACAGCACCCATAGCAGTCAACTTTGTGTGTCCGAATGATACTTTCAGAACAGGTGCTCGTAATTTTAATCAAAAGCTTATGCCTTTCGAGAAGTACCTTACTCTTTCAGTGGAGCAGTTTATTTGTCGGATTGAGCGTTATCATAGTCGCAGTCAACGCTCCTTTTGTGTTCGTTGTAAGAGGTGAAGCAGCACAATGGGCGGGTCACAAAGTAAGTCGTACCTTTCATCCAAAAAAGTTGTCATAATGAAAATGTTTTTAGGTGCATGCGGCAACAATGCCAGAGATGATACCTAGCATAAAGAATGGAGGTCTCGTGGAGAGATTCTGATAACGATGTAGTACATTGTTTTTTACATATACAAGGCATTTCACTTAAGCTTAGTTTTCTATTTGCTGTGGCTGTGCATTATCACTGTTTTCCTCTGTCAAGCATACTTAATGTGCAGGATATTAAATACGAAAGAAAGTACAAAGCCAAATTGAGCAGCGTGCAAAATTCTGCTAACAGAAACAACATGAAAATATAACCAATTTTAAACACCTAGGCAGCAGTTCAACAATTTCGTTCCGAGGACCACCATAATGGAATGATTCTGGATAGTATGCATATGCTCCCAAACCAAACCGCCGTAAGGCCATAACCGTAAGCGGCTTCTCAGAAATGGCCATATGGTGAGACACAGTAAGGATATCCGTGAGGAGAATACATAATGATTGAGATAATGATCGGTTTGACTGGGATATTCGTAAAATAATGGTTCCAAAGTTCAAATGAATATACTATGCCTTATCCGTGTACGAAAATCAGTTCAAAACAAACCTCCTTCTTTTCCTGAAACCATTAGCTATATCAATATTAAAAAACTTACAAATAGAGCGTCATTGTTATACAATTTCTCGTCTTTATCTTTATCTGATACAATGCGTGCCCAAACTAGTGTGAGTAATCATTGCAAAAGTGTGAAATAGACTAGCCTCTCTCTAGGGGGAGGGGGGGGGGGGGGAGTTAAGGTAGGCTGCCCCGGGGTACGCGGCGTATGATCCATATCTTGATGGCAGTGTCCAGCCAAATTTGGGCGTGTGGGTTTTTTTTGCCTGGAACTGATTAGGGAGTTTTGGGCTAAGACACTGCCTAGCGCAAATAATTCATTTACGGCTAAGAAACCTATCCGTAAACACTCCGCGCCTGCGCCGTAACTCGTGAGTGATTTAGGATGGGTCCCAGCGCGAACGTGGTGTGAAAGGCAGCGTTCCGGCAAAATTTCGCTCTGTAGTTTTTCACCTACTCTAAGCTTTCTCGTTATAAGGAACACAACGCTGAAAGTCTTTCGCACCCCGCCTCCATCGTTCCGAGCTCCGCCCACCTACACGTATTTTCACTGATGCGGACTTGAAAACTTCGGAAAAAGCCTATTTTCGCCACTTTCATGCGCTGAAAAGTAAAGATTTGGATTCTTCATAGTAAGAGGCTCCTAGACGGTGAACTGAAGAACGAAAATTTCCCGGGCTTTTAATGTGTGCGATGTCTTTTGCGTTACGGCAGGCGGCGCAGGCGCGGAGGATTTGAAGACGGATTTCACAGCCGTAAGTGAGTCTTTGCGCTGCCGTTTGGACGGCGCCTTAGTTAGAATCCCCTCATCATTTTCCAGGTCAAAGACTTATGCAGATTTGCCTGTACATTGCCTATAAACACGTGTGCGTACGCTGCATGTCGCGTACGTCGTGTAAGGAACTGCTACCTAAGGTTGTGAGTTAGAGAAGTTTAGTTGACTATGAGAGGCATAAAATGCCACCGCCACTGTCTGAGCTGTCTAATAAAGCCGGCGATTGGCTCATGCCAGGTATGCCAGGTTTAACTTGATACGGCGTTGGATCCACTTGCCTTATTTTGACCCAAATCATGCGCAATAAACGCAACTATCTGCCTTTACAAAGGAACAGTAATTCACTTAGAAATGGCTGGCAAGCCATTTACGATTAGTAAGCACTGTTGTTGATCTAATGGATGACAAGCCATTCAGCCATTCACGAATCTCCTTCTTTATCCTCGCCATTGTCTTGCAAGGACAGAGTCGGCGGTGTTGCATTTCCATTTGAGTCGATCAGCTTCATCTTGTAGTGTGAGTTTTGCAATTGCAGATCCCTTCGAATGGTGTCCAATCAGCGTTGCTTCGGCCGGCCACGTGGTCTTTTACCTCATGGATTTAGACAAAATGCTGTTTTGTTACTGTATTATCTTCACTTCGTAAAACGTGACCATACTAATTGTGGACGTAGTTTTTGAGCTATTACCAAGGTTGGTAAATACTTAATTGACTGACGTTGGCATTTCCGCGTTCAACGCCTTCTTCGGTCGGAGCCTACAAAGTCGAAGTCATAGGTGACTATGCGGTCAGACGTCAAGAACAAAGAAGAAAGAAACTCGAAAAGAAGGTTAATCCAAAGAGCAGAACCAGGGCCAAAAACACTTCTTACTAAATGTAAAACAACAAGGTAACACGAGCAGATCAGCAGATCAAAAATCATGCAGACCTGTTTCAGTAGGCTCGTAACTCAGCGGTTGTTACCGATTGGAGCCTGAAACATGCACCAGTCGAGTCACTTCAACCTATAAAAGAAAGCAAGTTTCCTGAAAGGTACGCGAGAAGTGCAGGCGAAGCTGCGAATTTTCGCGACTCAGTTATAGTCCCCTCACCTCGAACAGAGACCACTGTTTTTATAAACAGCGATTGCAAGCCTCTATGGCAAAGTTTTCTTTCAAACCAAGACCATCAACCATTTACTAAACCCCACTTGCGCACTTCGGAGCGTGAAACGAGGAAAAACCAAATGATCCAAAGTACTTTGAAAACTTGCTTATAGAGGTTATCTGACCTGCTGATTACGAAAGTCACATCTGCTTGGAAGATAGCTTCGTATTCTAGGCCTATGGCGCGCAGAACTTGGGATGACAAGATATTTCCAATTCACCAGCCCTTTTATCTCCTTTGGAAAAAAGTCTGCGGTTACGCGTACGAAAACCTACAAAAGAAGTACTATCGAACGATCCTATGCTGGAACTAAGTGCAATGTGCATGCTTTACACCTTTGCAAAGAGCCGTCTGCAGAAAATTCAAGAATACTAAAATCGGAGTGTCAATGAAATGGTGTAATAAAAAGATTCGTCTTGATGAGTTCAGTGTTTTTTTTTAGATTCAGTATGTATCCATTTCGAAGGAAGTGACGGCGAGTAGAACTTGGAAACGCGTGATTCTTCCAGATCCACCAAGCTTCTAACACTTTTGAAAAGAAGTCTGCAGCTACTTTCTAGCGCACGATAATGTCTAATACAAAAACAGTACAATCGAATAGTACTTATTGGAATCTTTTATGTTGAATAGGTTAGGTTTGGATCACAATGCATTCTTCGGATTTAGAACATAATCATGCCGGAGAAAGCTATGGCGCTGCGTAGTTTGCGTGATTCGCGTCCGCAAATTCTTGCTTCGCTCTATCGAACAATGTGTTAAACCATTTTTAATTCTTCTTTGCGTGCCAAGATAACATACACTGAATTTGCACCATCCTAATGTAATAGCTTAAGGCCAACTACGAGAAAATCTCGCTAAGAGAATGCTAACAACTCTTATTATTCAGAAGTACTTACAGGGGAAAGATCTTTAGTCGAAGTGACTTTTCCATAAGGAAGACAAATCTTCTTGAAAGACTTCGAACGTTGATTCCATATCTGTCTTTTTTCTGGAGTACCTCAGGACAAGGACTCATGATAGCTTTTTTAGCGAAACATTGAAATGCGTGTTTAGAAGAAAATTATTTATTGAAGACTCTTGAACTCACAAGCACTATGACTGTCAAACCTTATTTCCTGCTTGCTACCCCAGTGCTCACTATTATTCAATTTGCGAGTTGGAAAGGCTGTTAACAGTGGTTTTACTATGAAGAGGCGTTCCGTTTTTTTGACTCAGAAAGGGCTCGTAACCCCACACTTACAGCCCCTCTGCACTTAAAGAAAACAAACTTGAACTAGCGCCCAGTGCCCTTTGAAACTGTATGCATTTCAGCTGGTCAGGTCACTTTGACCAAAAATCCCTTTCTGGTTAGTGACTCTGGTCTTGCATGCAATATGATGTGAAGTAAGACGAATGTAGTTGTTAAGTCGTAGCTTGAGATCTTTCTTTCAAAATGGCAAATAGGAAGTTTTGGAAAAAATTTTGTACTGTAGGTTATCTACTGGAGAATCAACTAGAAGAGCTTCTGCATTGCTTCATCTTTAACAGATTCTAACAATTCTCGCATTCTAAAAAACTGTAAGTGGAGAAACATGTCGGTGTCGGATTTCGTCACTGAGACATTGAATCTTCTTACTTGTAATTATTTCGCGACTAACAATTTAGGTCATAACTTGTTGAAGTATTTTTTTGCGATTGAAAATTTTACTCTAACAACGTTAGCCTTCATGAACGGTTTATCGATGTCAAGTAAAGCTGAATAAATTTCTGCCACTCCAAAAACATTCTTTTGCTGTTTCTTGAGCTTGCGGCTTGTTTTGCAGCATGTTCAAGATAAAATTGTTTTTTATCAAAACAAGATGTGGCTGACCCTCTCTCTCCGCCTCTCTTGCGCCATTCGTGTCCATAGAAACCTTGTAAACCAGGTGCGACGTACGCAAGCGATAGAGATTGCAATATAACTATTGCAATATAACAGTTCTGCTATGAATCTACAGTATCTATCAACTCTTCTGCCTCAGCAGGTACATATGTAACGTAAACTGAATTACCTATAAGAAAATTTCTTGCCTTTTTAGGAAGGTTCGAATAAAATTCGCTCATTGGCTTGCACTCCAAACGGTTCAAAGTTAGCTGTTGTTGAACGAGATCGCGTAATCACCTTATTCGACGATCAAGGTGAAGTTAAGGACCGATTCAGTTCAAAGCCGCTCGACGCTAAGGTAACTTTTGGAGAGTTGGGGACATTAGCATTCATTCCAATATTCATCTTATTTAGTATGGGAAAAGATCTTACATCGTCAAATGGATCTGCTTTTCTCCGGACTCATCGAGGCTTGCCGTAGCGCAGTCGGATAATGTGGTATACGTATACAATATTGGGAAAACATGGCGAGTTTGCATTTATTTCTTTCTTTCAAAAATACGAGCAGTGACGCTTCTTGTTGAAGCTTTGACGCAAATAGATCTCGTCACATTATTTAAGAGAGTCAATTTCCCCAGCTGTTACCAATCCAGGGCCGGTAGTAATCTACTCTACCTGGTGGCATCAAAGATGCCGGCTAGTTGGCACACATCGCGGAAAGATGCCAACTCCTCCGGCAGCTCGGAGTGATTGTAGGTTTCAATAATCTTATGTAACCCTAGCACGCAATCATTTCGCACATTAAATTTTGATGACGCAGACAGCCGCAAAATTTCTACCTCGCGCGCGGTCGAACCTATGTGCCCTAACTTGAAGTGCCACCACGTTAACCATTCGACCATTCGGTCATCCATTGCCGTTTGCACCAGCAATAGGAGCAACGCGCTGGTTAATGGCTGCCTGTAAAGGGATCGATACATTGCGTGAGAGACTTTGACCTGAAAGAACAGCTGATTGATATGAGCGAGAGAGGGGCGAAATCAGTGCAAACGAGATTTATAAGGGATTGCCAGAAAAGATGATGTTCTTTATGATTCTAAGGCATTACTGGATTTTTTCTCTGTAAGAAAATCGTCGTTTTAAGAAAGAAAAACTCATATAATGAGAAAAATGATAGTTTTTTGATGAGAAGTAGAATTTTTGATTTTTTCGCCTGACGTAAATTGTGTGATATGGCCGCAATTCGCAAACTCGCAGACGCCGTCGGCAAAGGTGCCACCACCTCGACGTGGTAGGGGCATGTCGAGATGCCGGCAGCTCCCTCTCTCAAAAGAGCACGCTATTTCCCGTGCTCTCTGACCTGCCGGCAGCTGCCATCTCGCGGATTTCGACGAGCTGCCGGCAGGTTGCCGGCAAATTACATCGCGAAGTTGCCGGCAGCTCCTTCTGCGCTTCCAGATATTTTCCCACAGGAGGATTTCTAGAACCGCAGATTTCTACAGAGTTTTCTACAGAGTCTAGGCGGCATCTTTATCGAGAAAATTTTTTGGAAATAGGCCTGGGACCGCCTAAATTTGGGGTTTCCTTTCTGGCCACCTCACGGAAAAGGTGCCAGCGACCTGCCGACGAGACCTGCCGCCAGATCGGGGGATTACTACCGGCCCAGATGTACATTACAGTGCTACGCAAAACTTCGAAAAAAACCTGATAAAGTGCTTGGCTTATCAATTTCTCCGAAATTTTGCTGAGTTTAATGACTTTTGCTGAAATATAAACCGAAAACTTTACAGATTTTGCGTTATTTTTAGGGGTTTTCGAATTAACATTGTTTTTGGCCTTTCTCTAGATAATAAAATTGGAATCCCCGTCAAGAAATTAATCAAATTTGAGATGATTCTGAGCCGTCGTAAAAAACTAGATATGTGATTTGATGTACAGTTGCAACAAAAATCGTGGATCATACATCAACACTTTGTTGAAGTCGTCCTTGTGATTTGTTGTAATTTTCAGGAACGAGAAGAAAGTTCTGGTTAATAAACTACCGCAATCATCCGCTGTCAATGTTGTTCAGTGGCCGTTCGAGGACAAATTGTTAATTGGTTTGAACGATGGAAAGTTGCGTGTTGCAGTTCTAACTAGTAATAAATGCACTACGCTCTATAAGAGAGACGAATCGGTGGTCAGCGTTAGCGTAAAGTGAGTTCAATTCACTACAAAGATAATTCTCTGAAATCATATGTTTCCGCTCAAATTCGCAATTGAATCCGCAACTTTTATTTCCTCAGTTATTAATAGTGAAATGAAGAAGTCCGCGTTGGTATGGTTCATAATTTTTGCACCAGAATTTCTCAATTCCGTTATTTTTCCAAGTTCAATGAAACTTCTGATTTGAAGTTGACAGACAGGAAAGCTTGAATCAAAATTCTTTGTTAACATTTGCAACGATACAGGCTGTCTAAGAGAAGTACCCAAAAAGCTATTTTTTGCAATTTGGCGGCTAAAATTGCTAAAACATCTAATGAAATTGAGAAATTCGTCCTGGCTTTATAACCGGTACCTTTTAGCTAATAAAGTTAGATTTCTCCCCGAAGATATATAAATTTAAATTTTTCAACTTCGGCTTATTGATTTTGTTTCAAAATGATTTTTTCAGTTTGTAGTATAAAATTCTAACTTTGATAATATAACAAAGAGCATATTGTGAGTGTGTTGGGTTTGTTCAAGCATTTTTAAAACGATTTTCCGCCTTTTTGGTGCGAGAATCATGCATAGACCTAATACCTTTATCTTTGGCTTTTTTGGGCAGATTTCAAAAATCCTATGTTCCTTTCTGAATCTACTTAAACGCAATCACGTCAATTTCTACATTAAGTTCGAGACTTGTGAGCTGTAGAGAGTAGTGCTCGATTATTACTATGGCTCAAATTTTTGAGTTTCGGTAAACTTCAGCCTAGAATACTTGGAGCACATCTTCACTTGCTTGGCTGATATATCCTTTGAAATTTTATGGTATTTGACTAGTTCTTGATTCATTCGTTCTATTGCCACAGCAAATCCTGAATAATCGAAAAATTCGGTCCATTTAATTACTGAGTCAAGGAAGGAGTGAGGGATTATGAGTAGACCTGTATTTTTCTTCTTGTAAGACAAAGTGGAGTGTAAAAGGCTTGAAGTGGAGATTGAATTCCGTTTATATACTGTACTATTACGGCGGCGTGGCATTATACTACAAGGCCCCCGCCGCCAAAGCTCGCCGCCATAGTCGGCACGCGCGGGGAGCCGGCTTACGGTAGTCTGCGCCCACTTTGTACCGGTGCGCGTGAGCCATGAGGCAATCTCGCGAACGCAGACTCGTCCATTTTTGCCGCGTCGCGACGTTGCGCCGCGATGTCGCAACTTTTATCAGAAGTTACATGAAATTACTCAGAAAAAATTGCTGTTTTAGATTGAAACGTCCGGCATCGTCCGCCGCACCGGGATAAGGTGTAAAATTTTAAAAAAACTCGTTTATTTTTTTCTTCTTTGAATTGGTTTCATGTTTCTTTTATTTGCAATTAAAACAAAGGCTGAAATGACATCTCTTATCAAACCAAATTTCAACGCAACGATTATACGTCAAGTAAATGAATAAGCTTTTATATACAAGTTCAACATATACATCGAAGTAAATACAATTTCATATTCATTTCTGTAATACTCTACATAGCTCTGTCGGATGTGAAGCGAGCCATCTTACGGCATATTCTTCGGCTTCTGCGGGTGTAATTACGGAGCAGCTTTGAAGATCCTCGAAATCTGACATGGCAGGTTACTTTTCTTCGCCTTTCTCTATCCCTCAGTCGCAATCGCCTTGTGTGAGCAATGACCCAAATTTTTGCATCAGATGTTGGGTCAAATCAGCAACTCACCTCATCTAACGCCCTTAAGCCGAGCAATGCAATGGTGGTAAATGTCTGGAGTACATGTACAAGTTTACCATATCTAGGATATTTCCTGCCACCACATAATCTGCGAAGTCGCTAAGAATGAAATATTAGTCAAACAGTCACCACTTGAGACTTACCCGTGATAATTCTCTGAAAGAATTGTTGTGCGCTGCACCCGCATCATGTGCTTACACCACATGGTAGAAAAAGGCCCTTCCAGCCAGGTATCCGCGAAAAAAGCTAGGAAATTTAGACATGACTGATAAGCTGGATGGTCTCTTCCTACGGTGGATCCCTCAAGGCTCGGACCAATGCCAAATGCTCACGGGGGCGAAACGGCGAGCCCTTGATGGTTTGCCACCCTCGACCCTCGAAAATTTGCTCCGTCCTTTCAAGTATCGAGTGATCCCCAGCGCATTTCTTTTTCGCACCCATCTAAGATATATGCCAGGCGCATCCTTCGACAGAGTTGTGGGGGAAATTCGCCTTAGCGCATTTATGGCAGCCTTAAGGAATTTGAATGAGTTCTGGCTAATTAAAAAAGGGTCAGTACCACATAGTCTAGTACTATCCGCAGCTGCGACTTGCCATCGGAATTAGCTGTCTGGAGCGCCTCCTTCAATTTTGCGAAAACATCGAGATAATCCTCTCCTTTTTGTTTCGCATCATTGCGAACAGCAATGGCGTCTGAAAATTGTTTTCAACGTAAAACAATAATCGCTGCCATGTTATCACCTCGAATTCCCCATTACACACTGCGTGTATTGTGTAAAGCTGACCTCGCTCCATATTAGTGGCAGCTCTTGTGCTTTTTCGGGGTTCAATTGGTGGATTCCATCAGCTATCAGTGCGGACAATCCATTCCGTACTGCTTCCTGCCAACACAACTTAATTGTTATTATTGAACATTATAAGTTTTCTACCTACCGCCACAACATTTTGAAAGTAGTAAATGTGCATGGATGAACGACCTTGCAGAAAAGTGCTGCCGTCAGGTCTTCTACGCAGAAATTCCGGCACGTTGTCTATATCCGCGGCTGTGCTTTTCCGCAGTACTGCCCTGCGAAATGCAACTAGTGTTTTGAGCAGTAAAAAAATCAATGTTTTGACCTTGAGAAAGAACTTCGTCGTGTTTCGTATTTCAGAACTTTCATTCTCTTGTCCCCTGCGTCACCTCAGCTCATCCTCTCGATCAATCACTGCTGACCAGTACATTTGCGTTCCTAGGTGGTTTCCAGTCGGATGCTGTCTTCTTTTCTGCAGACACTAAAAAATTACAATTTTTAGATGTATGTTGTGCTCGCATTCATTTCTCACTTCATAAGACATGCGCTCTGCTTTATCTTTGGTTCGTTCTAAAAGAGCACAAACATGCGCTAATCCAGAAAGATCGCTGAGAAAGAGATCGCCTTTCACCTCAAGAAACACGTTAGAATCGTTGAGAATAAGAAACACAAATATTGTGACCTGTATGGATGCACTTCTTCCACCGCTCCGTTTGCAGTGTGTGCATAAGTACGCAGAATTTTCTGGATTGGCTATGCGACGCTGATACATGAATACGTAGGACAATGACGTTTCTAAATAAATGAGTATAAAATTGAAAAGTACACTCACACAGAGAAAAGTAAAAAGTAGATTATCTGGGATATTGTAAATCACTACTGGGTGTTTGCCATATTTGCTTGCTTCCTTTTCCCCGCAAAATAACTCCGCGCTTCTGACAGTCTCTGTGTTCGACGGCTGTTGAGCTTCCGCGGGTTCTTCACTCCTTCCAGTCTGTGCTGGGACCCAAAAAGTCATAAAATACAAACTGGAACATTTTTTGTATCAAACTTACCTGAGTGCCTTTTCTAGAAGAATAAAAGAAAAAATAAGGAGCGTAAAAGGAGTTATTTGGAAACATGTATGTTTGAGTAGTCACAATGATTCTTCTTTATGTATGTTTCGGCATCATGGAGGTCTTCTTACGGCCGTAGGCATGACCTAGTAAGTTAAGGCCGCAGGTCAGCATTGCCGAAGGGTTACTAATCTCAACTGCAATCTAGGCCACAGGTCACAGCTTGTAATGACAATCAAGTAACGGCATCATGGCAAAAACAAACTAGAAATTAATATTGAAACAATTGAGAAAGTCTTGGAGTTGAACAGAGAAAATTGAAACAGTTGAAAAAGTTTTGGAGTTGAACAGTCTTAGTTTTTTATTTACAAATAAAAGAAACATTTAACCAATTTAAAAAAATGGACGAGTTTTTCGAAATTTTACACCTTATCGCGGTGCGGCGGACGATGCCGGACGTTAAAATCTGAATGAGCAATTTTTTCGGAGTAATTTCATGTAATTTTGATAAAAGTCGCTACATCGCGGCGCGACGTCGCCACGCGGCGAAGTTGGACGAGGCTGCGTCTGCGCGATTGCATCATGGCTCACGCGCACCGGTACAAAGTGGGTGCGCACTACCGTAAGCCGGCTTCCCGCGCGTGCGGACTATGGCGGCGAGCTCTGCCGCCGAGGGCCTTGTAGTATAAGGCACATCCTCCTACTATTACAGCTATTATTCGACTATGAGCAGATTAATACACATCTAGACATCCAATCTTCCACTTTCAAAATCTCTATTTCAATTACTTTCAGCTCTCGGAGAACCGCGTTTGTGTCTGGGCATCATGATGGTTCAATTATACATTTTACTTTTAACAGCAAAAAACAGGCAAGTTGCTGGTGGAACAGTTGCTGCAAAAAATAGGGTACATGTCAAGAATAACGATAGCTGTCAATAGTGGCACCCTGAGTGGCCTGGTGTCAATAAACGGTGTACAAGTAGCATCTCCCTAGCAGCAGACGAGTTTACGCAGGCACCACATTTTGGAGCAGTAAATGCCCGAAGCGTTGTGCTTCTTCATGTAAGCTTTATGTTAAGGCTTCTGCTATTTTTTACGAATGGAAATAATCAGCAATCAGCCATAAATTCGCGATAGAACTCTGTTTTGTGCCCAATTCAGCATGTGAATTATGTAAGCTTTAATGATTGATATAGGAAACGAACTTTAATGAAAAGAACTGAAGTTTAAATCATTTTTTCCGATTTCATAATTGAGTGAAAACGGGCTGCTCTGCGCGAGCGAGCAGCTGGCAGCTAGCGGCTGGCAGAGCTATCGTTATTCTTGACCGCCACCCCAAAAAATATAGTGTTTTTCATCTAGATCAGAATATGCTCATTACCTGAGGCAGCATATTGCTTGATCTACACTGCACATGGAATTATTGCGGCAATCGATCGTAGGGTATTCGTATGCACAGGTTAATCTTTATGATATTTTCATTTCGTGATGGAAGCACTTCCGTTTTTAGAAGATGGGCAGGTCCAACAACAGTTTGACTATTCTTCTCAACATGAGAAAGGATTCTCTGCGATAAGTATCGATGCAACCGGTGACAATGTATTACTGGGTAGTTTCAATAACTAAGAGTCTGGATTAATTTTCTAATGCATACAGAATCAGGCTACACTCTTCCAGGCTACGACTTTTCTCTTGGTCAACTCATAGAGGAGCATGGGAAGAAAGTTGCACGCTGGATATAAGCAACCTATACGTTTGTAGTGCTCTTGCTTGGAAGGCTGATGGAACGACAGTGTACTGTGTAGGTTATCATTCATGCTCATTACGACGAATTTAGGGCAAGGCTGTAAGATGTGGACCTTTACCATGCATAATTACTGCATTAGCACTATCATCACCAATAATTACTGTGGCGAGTGCTTCAGAAGGGGAGACGGCCCTTCTGAACCCACCGTCCCCTACAGTAATCTAGAACTAGGACGCGCGCGCATGCGCTGCGATGACTGCGGACGAGTGCTCCGCGAAGGGCTCGTATTTTCGAAAATCACAAACTCCTTTCGTGCGGCTCTTGCCTTATGGAATGCAAGCCAATCACGCTGATTCCAATCAAATACAGCTACCATCCTCTGAATGTTTGGTATTCTGAGCCCTACTTCCCAGCGAGTATGTTTATGATTTAAGGGACATTTTCAAAGTCTTTTCATTTCCTCCATAAAAAACTTCTCAAGAATCTCCTTTTAATTCTTTCGAACTTTGTTTTTTTTTGCTTTTTTTCCACTTATATCCCTTGTGTGTGCGATCCTTATAATGTCGTGCATCGTCACATCATATTGCTAATGTGAGCTGCTTGATGTTATTGAGGAAAGCTCACGTAATCAAAGTTTGTTTAACAACTCTTTATAAAGGCCAATTATAACTCAAATTGGTGATCTACGGCCATTCGTTATCAAATGCGTATTTCCTTTTGACATTTCTGTGCATCTCTGTAGCTTTCCAAGAAAATCATCATCTCCTTAAAATTCTCATTCCTAGTAAAATTTACGAACGTGCGTTTGGAATTTTTACCCTATAAAAAGCATGATGCGTGCAGCAAAGAAAAGGTCGCTACCAAAATCAATCCATGTAGATTACGCTACCAAGTGAAGGTGATGCATTTTTATTTGATTGCGTTTTTGATATGGACGGTGTAAAAAAAACTTCATACTCATCATAAAAAACGTATGCTCCCCTACTGGCATGCATGTAGTGCACATTTCAATTGAATATGACTAGATGATGCTGCAAGGAGGCAGACGTAGGAGAGTAGAGCATGCAATCGAACTCATAAAGATCTAGGAGAGTAGAGCATGCAATCGAACTAAAAAAACAGTAAAATAAGTCGAAAAAGACATTGAAAATGTCTCATAGGTCAAAAACATACCACCTTAGAAAGTGGCGGCGATTTAAGTAGGTGGAGTAGAGCGAATAACTTAAGTTATTGAATTCTAGGGAATTTGGGGAATTTAGGAATTTTCTAGAGAATTACCTCCAGAATCTCATTGTGGAGTAGGTTACCAGCGATGTGAAACTCGTCCGCCTCCGCAGCGCGTCTACCCAGGTCAGCCGCTCGCTCCCGCGAGCTAGCCAATCATGGAGTGACCTCTAATTAGCGCTGACCTCTTATAGCCGTCGCGATCGGGGCAGGTTCAGAAGGGCCTACACCCCTTCAGAAGTGCATACCCAACGCGGAAGTCTAAACCTTGTTATGCTAGACAAAATCTTGCGAGAACTAAGGATAAGACTGAATGACTCAAGACCCATGTCGTATCATGTACAAATCCTGAATCTTCGGGGTTATGACATATCTCACTCTTGACGCCATATTCTACTCACGTTTTAACATAGCATAGGCGTATTTAAGAGAACGGCCATGGGTTGCCAACGACGGTTGCCGTGGTTGCTCGAGTTGTTAGAGACTACATAACACACAAGAGATTACTGTGTGGTCCTACAAGGACCGGCAACCTCTGCAACCTTTGCCGGCAACCTATCGTTCCCTAAGGCAAACGCTGAACAGCTCAAGGTTGCCTCCATTCCTCACCACTATTTTCATTGAATATAACCCATCATCTAGAGGCAAATCCAGCTAACAGGAAGGAAAAGGAAAGGTGTGTATCTGTGAACTTTGTTGAACAAGTATAAATTTATAACTGAAAAAATGTAATAAAAAACCACCAAAACCCATCGCATACATATGCAGGGCTGATTGAGAAACTCTTCTATGACCGACTTTCTGGGAGTATAAGGCTCTCCTAGGAATCAAAAATACATGAAGCCATGCATCAACATTATATACCCATCAAGAATGTCCCTATCTCTAGTGTATGTTTAGGGAACCTTATGTGGAGGACTTATAGCAGTGGATTGCTGTCTTCGACGAGAAATGTTGAAAAACCGTTTCCAAATAACCTATGTCGCTTCTCCCCACGTTATAGTACGTGATGTCACGACAAACTCAAAGACAAACCTACTTTCAAAGAAAGGATATGCCATTAGTAATCTCAAGGTTTCTCAATTAATTTTGACCCTGAGATAAGCCTGTATTTTCGAGTTAAGATTACGGGAAAGAATCGCTTCATTGTTGCATACACAGCTTCGTCATTAATCATAGCAAGCATTGAGACAGGACTTGCTTCAGAAATCGAGTGGCAATCTGGAGGCAATGAAAAGTAATGATTTGTTTATACTTTCGTACTTACCCTATAGAATACTGCTGATTGCGGGTTAGTGTAATTGACAGCTGAGTTCAGATTCTACTTTGGATTTGAACATGTTTGCATGATAATGAATGTTGGAGAGGTAACGGTTATAGAATATGGATCTGATGGGCCACTGAGTTGGGTGCGGACCGAATATACCAGTCCACGTCTATTGAGGCAAGTTTGTGGCTCCTTCTAAAAACATTATGCTAGATCTTGGACTTAAAATGCACATTGTCATCACACAGAATGCTGTGATATGTCGCTGTTCACAGTATAAGCTTACAATAGGCTTGTAACTACAGCAGGATGAATTAGTGTGAGATTTACGACGCATGCTGTTTCGATATACTTGGATGAGCAAATATCATCAGACCCAATGCCGTTTGAAAAACTGATGCCATGAAAACGAAATAGAATCTCCCGTACCAGCATTATGATCCATTCGACTAAATGTGCTGAAAAAAAAGTTGCTGCCAATTATGTGTGTGCTGTTTTATTTGCGGTCAAAATAGAAAACACAGTTTAGTAAAAAGTTGACTATGCGTTCTTCAACTGACCGAAACTATGGAGAAAAATTTCAAACGAATATGTGTAGTATTTGCAAGGTTCAGCGTAAGAATCGCAAGAGGACCGCATGGATCACATTCTATGAAGAAAATTGCTTACCTCACGGATTCGACTTCACTTACAATTAGTAAGTTGACTAATCGACGAGAAAAAAGCTACAAATTTTGACTGCCTTTTTTCAAAATCTTAAAATCTTACTACGTATTTGGGAGGCTAGAGAAAAGAAAGAAACAAAAGGACTTCTCCAAGCAGTTTATTTCAACATCGGGCTGCTCTTCGAAATCCACTCCTTGGGGGGGGGGGCACCAAATGTATACGGTTTGCGGAACGAGCATGTTTCTTAGTCCTTAGTATTTGTCGTCGCCATCAATTCTGTAATGATAGTAGTTGAACAACTAAATACGTGAACAACTGTCAATACTGTACGCATCAGCTTACGACCTTCATTTTAGAAAACCTCCTAAACGATGAAATAGAGATTGTTGTAAACCACACGACGGCCATTGACTGGCTTGAGGTAAATTTTACTCTTTACCTCCAAAAAATTACATTGAAAAGCTTTCCTTGCTTTGCCAGCACAAACGCTGGGTCATAAGCAAATGCTCACATAATTACTAATTTTCGATTTCTCATAATTTAGCTCAGCTACAGCGCCACGAAGCTGCTATTTCGCGATAAAAGTTTACGACTAATGCTTTTGGATGGAACGCAGCAAACGACCATTTTAGACTTCTGCACCTACGTCCAGTGGGTACCTTGCAGTGATGCAGTGGTTGCGCAATCTGGGAACATCCTTTATGTGTGGTATGCATGTAAGAAGCTAGCTAGAGGAATCTTCTAACAGAGTTTATTTCAGGTATAATCCGTCAGTACCAGATCAGGTTACTGCGGTAACAATAAAAGGGGAGGTGGAGACTGTGTTGAGAGATGTCGATAGAACCAAGGTCATAGTGCGCGTAAGCAAGCAGTTAGGAATCAAACTGATTGTCAGAAAGTAATTTTACAGGAAACCAATACTAACGCCGCTTACGAGCTGGATAGGGTCCAAATAGAATTTTGGTCGGCCGTCGAATGTGGAGATCTTTCAAAAGCAGCTGCTTTCTTGGATTATTACAAAGTTGATGATTCGTGAGTGATTTTGCAATACTCATATCATTAGCCAAAAGGGCCATCAAATTTAAGGCAATTGTAAAAAATTTTATACATAGTTCCATGGTCTTGTTAACCTATGCGGTACGTTCTTTATCTACATTTCCCCTTTCCCTTTGTATCCAGCTAATAATTTCATGTTTCCCTCGCTAATACTTTCATGTTTTTATATACTATATATACACTGCAGATACATAATGTGGAGGAAAGTAGCGCACCTGGCTTTGGAACAAAACAACTTATTCATTGCTCAGCGATGTTTTGCAGCTTTGGGCGATTTCGGGAAGGCTCAAGCGGTTTTCGTAAGTGCTAGGTTATGAATTCTTTTCTATGAACATTGTAAATTTGACAGAAAATGATGGACTTGTCTGAAGACACAGCGAAAAAGAGCGACGGTGATTTCACAAAATCCTACAAAGTGATGGCAAGTTTGGCACTGTTAAAACGTAGATTCAAAGAAGCGGAGATGGTTTACGTGAAACAAGTAATTGTTTGTAACTGTTTTTTGATTGCTACAGTTATAGGTCGAATGTCTTGTTTGACATTTCTTTAGAATGCCGTCGAAGAAGCTGTCGAAATGTACCTGAATCTCCACAAATGGGATGAAGCACTGGAACTGGCAAAAGCTATGGTACTGTCTTGAAACCACCTATTTTTGACGCATATATTATTTTGCAGAATTACAGTGGCTATGAACAGTTGAAGTCAAATTACTTTGAAACCCTACTCGATACAGGACAGGATGCGAAAGCTGCTGAAGTGCGTTCTTGTTGCAAAGTGCTTTCTCTTGACAAGTGAAGGTCAAAAAATTGGCTGCATTTGCAGTTGAAATTAGCTGATGGTGACATTGCTGAAGCTGTAAATCTTTACTTAAAAGCAAGGCAACCGGTACAAGCTCTGTCAGCTGCTCTCACGAATTCAGCGCTGGCTGAGGATATACAGTTGATGTCGTCCATAGCTGGTCAACTGATGCAGTCACAGATCTTCGACAAGGTAAAACAAAGTTATCATTGCTTATTGTTATTGGAATATCGCGGCTAGCGAACCGCTCCTCGTAACGTTTAGCTAGGAGCACCTCTATGCGGCGCTGTTCGGCAGTGGGTACGGTTGCAACGCCCTACCGCAAATGGCGCTCCCGCGCTGTATTGTGGTTTCTTTTGAGTCCTTTCGTTGGTATCGCCCGTATTCAATGGTTGGGTCTTATCAGATAGTGCCTGCGTCTTTGCGCCTTCGCCGGTATCAAAAAATTGTATGGTTTGACGGTCGGTTGGCTTCATGGACGCGCAAAGATTGGAACATCAGACGAAAAACACTAGTAGCGCTTGGACGCACCAGACATATTGACCTGGGACTGAGGTTTCAGTTGGGTAATATTCGCGGGGCTGGTGGCAGCGTTGTATTATCTCGGCGGTGCGCGACTAACCTGTGAGTCTGCTCCCTTGAAATTAAGAGACTGCGTGAGATTGTGCTTATGAAGAGAGCGTGAGTGAGTAAGCATCCCCCTGTAGCCCGGGGTGAGCTTAACTCGCCACGTGATATATCCGCCTTCAACTGATGATTATTTTATGTTATTGTTTGATAAGCATGTATGTGGCTACGCATTGTTTTTGGGTGGCGTAACGTGGGCCTCCTGGGCATTGTGGGCCGGAGCTTGCCTGCAATCGCGGAAGTTCTTTGGGAAGGGAACTGTGGCTTACGGTAGCCGAGGATCAGGCAAGAAGGCAGAGCCGCAATAATTTGTTTAGAGCTTTGCCTAAGCACTTTTTGTGCGGAGAAGACTCGACAGCTAAGTAAGTAGTAACACCAAAAATCCTAATTGACCACTGGTTAGAGTCGGCAAAACTTTATTTTTTGACAATTATTATCAGGCTGGAGAAGTATATGAGCATATAAAGGATTACGGAAAAGCCTTGGAATGCTATAAAAATGGAAGAGCCTTGAACAAAGCGATACAGGTGAATAGCGCAGTTTATCAGTCTTTGTTTTACCTCCAACAATTTCAGCTAGCGAGGTTCTGCGCTCCTGAACAGGTGGTCATACTTGAAGAAGATTGTGGTGATTATTTGGTGTCGATAGGACAACATGAAGCCGCTATAAATCACTTTCTAGGTGATTTGTTAATCTTATGCTTTGCAAAATATACGCCTGTAAGGGATCGATGAGTTTAGAAGCTAATAATATAATAAAAGCGGCAGAAGCAGCTATACAAGCGAAAGAGTGGAGAAAAGCTGTGGAAATTGCTGACGTAATCCAGGATCAGCAAGTTTCCATCGGTTTCTACAAGCGAATAGCTTCTTTTTACGCTACCGCTGACGAGCTTGATGTAACTATCGTAATTCTTATCAAAACAGCACAAAACTCATTTTTCTAGATTGCTGAACGTTTGTATCTAAAAGCAAATCTTCACAAAAAAGCTATCGCCGTGTATATTGAGCACAATCGTTGGGCAGATGCGTACAGGGTAGGGCTTTGTCTATAGGCTTGAAATGTGAAAACTTGTTAGCATTTCATGAAGTTGTCAGAAAAATTCCTCGGGAAAGAAAAAACATTTGCATTATATGGAGCTAAAGCTGAAGAAATGGAGCAACAAGGTCGTTATACTGATGCAGAACAGGTGAGAGTTTCCTCAAGTCTTTATAAATGCAAATTTAGCTTTTTAGCTGTACATCTCGATGGGTATGCCAAATAAGGCTTTGTTGATGTATAGAAATGCGGAGAGAAATGATGATGTGATCCGACTTGCTGAAAAGTACGATAGGGAACATTTGCAGGTACAACCGACCCTTTCTTTCAGGATGTCTTGCAAAATACGCGTCCATTCCAGGACACGTATAACTGGCTGGAAAAGCAGCATGAAGAACATGGAGATTTACGCCTTGCTGAGGAGGAGTACCTTGAAGCTGGAAACTTCAAGGTGTTGCAAGGCTTAAGGTAGATCATTGAGAAATGTGTTTTTAGGCTGCTATTACTATGTACATGGAGAACGAAATGTGGACGGATGCATATCGTCTGGCAAAAAATGAAGGTGACGACCAAGAACGGAAACAGGTTAGATACGCCAAGCGAAAGAATTTTTAAGCAAGGTTCGGACTTTAGGTAATATTTTTATGGGCGAAAAGTTTGGCTGGAGAGGCTGCGGTGAAATTGCTTAACAAGCACAGATTACTTGACGAAGCTATTGACCACTTTATTGAGATTGGGTAGGCAGTATGAATGTATGTATAGTATGAAGTCTGATCCGCTTTATAGGAAACTAGCTGGCTTACCCGGCTCCGCCGTATCCGGACCAAACTTGGCACTCATACACTTCGGGCCCCGGCGGGTGTCACAGTCCACTTTTCGTTATCGATCGGTGTCGATTTTACCGATTTTTATCGATTTTTTTGCAGAGTTCACCTACAGGGCTAGGAGTTGGCACAGGGGGGGAAGTGAGCATGGGGATTCCGAATACAATATTAGTTTTCAGAATTATCGATTACTTTTATTGATTTTATCGATTTTTTGTAAATTTTGACATGCGAGGCTGGGATTTTGCACAGGGGGGTAATCGAGCATGCTGATTACGAACACAATATTAGTTTTCAAGATCGTCCATTACTTTTATCGATTTTATCGATTTTTTTGTAAAGTTTGACCTGCGGGGCTGGGAGTTTGCACAGGGGGTAATCGAGCATGCAGATTACGAATACAATATTAGTTTTCAAGATCGTCCATTACTTTTATCGATTTTATCGATTTTTTGAAAATTTGAGCTAGGGGGCTGGAATTTGGCACAGGGGTGTAATCGAGCATGCTGATCACCCCCTTGGGGATGATCAGCATGCTCGATTACCCCCCTGTGCCAACTCCCAGCCCCCTAGCTCAGACTTTGCAAAAAAATCGATAAAATCGATAAAAGTAATCGATAATCCTGAAAACCAATATTGTGTTCGGAATCCCCATGTTCGATTACCCCCCTGTGCCAACTCCCAGCCCCGTAGCTCAAACTTTGCAAAAAATCGATAAAATCGATAAAAGTAATCGATAATCCTGAAAACCAATATTGTATTCGGAATCCCCATGCTCGATTACCCCCCTGTGCCCAACTCCCAGCCCCGTAGCTCAAACTTTGCAAAAAATCGATAAAATCGATAAAAGTAATCGATAATCCTGAAAACCAATATTGTATTCGGAATCCCCATGCTCGATTACCCCACTGTGCAAACTCTTAGCCCCGTAGGTCCTTTACAATCGATAAAATCGATAAAAGTAATCGACAGTTTTGAAAACTAACATTGTATTCGAGATCGCTATGCCCACTTATTCCACTGTGCCAACTCCCAGCCCTGTAGCTAAACTTTGCAAAAAATCGATAAAATCGATAAAAGTAATGGGCGATTTCAAAAACTAATATAATATGTCATTCGTAATCAGCATGCTCACTTACCCTCCCCCCCCCCTGTGCCAACTCCCAGCCCCGTAGGTGAACTCAGCAAAAAATCGACAAAAATCGATAAAATCGATATCGATCGATGACGAAAAGTAGCCTATGACACGCGCCGGGGCCCGATGTGTATGTGTGCCAAGTTTGGTCCGGATCGGTTCAGAAAGAATTTTCTATTCGGAACATACGTACAGACATACAGACATACATACATACAAACAGACATTCAGCTTTATATATAAGATTCGATTTTGCATTTAAATTGGCAAGACTGGGTGCAAAGGAACGGCTACCTCAAGTGAGTTTTCTGGTCAAGCTCCATGATAAAGATTGGTGCGGATATAGAAGAGTAGATAGAATGATAACGTCTGATACCAAAATCAAACTTAGACGCTAAATATTCTGCCACGATGGCTTATCACCAATCACCTCAAACTTGGGTAACTGAACAGTGTACTAATAGTAGAACAACGATAGAGAATAGTTAAGCAAAATGACAGTACACAAAGTGGGAGTGTTTGGTAATACGCTGTGTCAATTTTAAATATAGGAGCTAAGATACAGTGCTATACATAATTATAGGGACACTCTAGAAATCGTCGCAATTTTCATTCTTGTCAGTGAATCTGTCTGAAACTTTGCTGTATGGTGCGCATGTAAGCCTACCATAACTCCTCAGAACGGCTTCCAATCCCGTTGATTTCGAACGGAGAAAAGTGGAAAAATTCGAAAAAGCTTGTTTTGCAGGCTGGACATAATTATAAGGACACCTGGCCTTTTTAAGCATTATCGCATTTCTTGACTCCCAAATTTTTTTGTAGAGTTACATCCCAGAATATGAAACTTTTGCAGCACCTAGGACCTGTCATGCTACTCAAGGAAAGATGATCCTTGCATTTTTCGTTTCCAAAGGCATCAGAAGTCAAACTGCTTCAGTAAACAACTGGTTTGAAGATGATAATCATGGAGTCTACTCCTTCTGGATAGATGAGGTGAAGAGCGCTTTCGTAAACTCTGCGTAATCGCTGATTTTGACTGACAGACTTCAACCTCACCATAGGGTTGTCGCGCTTTTGCACCACAAAACTCACTTTGCAATGGTCGTGAAGTGATGGACTCGATTCATTACATTTTCTACGTGGAGATGCATCTTCTGCAACAACTTTAGATTTTTTCTAGTGCTGCAGTTGCCATTTAGATCTGAAATACTTTCAACGAAAATTCTATGCGAGCAGTAGATTCAACATAATCACAAATCTCACGATTTTATTCTCTGTTTCATGTCGCATTTTGCGCGGTAGCTGAGATTAGCAAGATTTTGAAGTTTCAAGCGGTCTCCTGTTCGATTTCTTGATTTTGAGTTGGATATGATTGTGCAGGGTGCTCGACTCAACTCTCAACGGATGACAACTGCGGCTGAACCAGAATGTGCAACCCCGAAATTTTTTCCCGACTAGGCACACAAGTTTATTGTTGTACGTGTATTGTTGCGGCTACATTGCAGCGTTTTCTGTAACTTGAAAATCGAGTTTTGTGGTGCAAAAGCACGACAACCCTATGGTGAGGTTGAAGTCTGTCCGTCAAAATCAGCGATTACGCAGAGTTTACGAAAGCGCTCTTCACCTCATCTATCCAGAAGGATCAGTAGACTCTATGATTATCATTTGAAATGAACAAGGGCTTGAAAACTCTTCAAACCAGTTGTTTACTGAAGAAGTTTGACTTCTGATGCCTTTGGAAACGAAAAATGCAAGGATCATCTTTCCTTGAGTAGCATGACAGGTCCTAGGTGCTGCAAAAGTTTCATATTCTGGGATGTAACTCTACAAAAAAATTTGGGAGTCAAGGAATGCGATAATGCTTAAAAAGGCCAGGTGTCCTTATAATTATGTCCAGCCTGCAAAACAAGCTTTTTCGAATTTTTCCATTTTTCTCCGTTCGAAATCAACGGGATTGGAAGCCGTTCTGAGGAGTTATGGTAGGCCTACATGCGCACCATACAGCAAAGTTTCAGACAGATTCACTGACAAGAATGAAAATTACGACGATTTCTAGAGTGTCCCTATAATTATGTCCAGCACTGTACTAGGCGTGAGTATAACTAAATGTCTAGCAAATAACGCAGAAGTCAAGTACTTGTTCCACTTGAACTCAAAATACTTGTCTGTTTACTCGTTTCAGGAAACTAGCTTGCAAATGTACGAGATGGTTTTAAATAACATTTATAAGAAAATCTTGTTTTTATAGTAGGGAAAGAAAGTGATAAGTAGGTAAATTGGGCATAAATGATAATTCCGTTTTATACATGTTGAGCAATCGCTCGAGATTATCTCGGTTATCACTTCCGCAACGAGAGAAAGGCGCGCAAAGCATTCTTTCTAGAAGATAACCACAAGTTAGGAGTTCAGCTCCATAATTATTTCTAGATTTTGAGTAACTGCTTGTATTGTAAGTCGTTTGACGACAGCATCTGCTTTAATGACCTGACTAAATTTGAGGTGCATATGCGAATGGCCCTACAATTGAAAGAAGAAGGGCAATTTGACCAAGCAGCCCATCATTTCATTGAAGCTGGCAAAGCTTCAGAAGCTGTTGCTATGTATGTTCGTGAAGGTGATTGGTCAAATGCTGAGCAAGTTGCAAAGTTAGTTTTTTTAACATGGAAGAATATTTTTGCTATGAAATTAAATTTTTACTAAGAGAGCATACTGTCGAGACATTGCCAGACGTGCTCGTGGCTCAAGCACTTAAGTCGTTAGAAAACGAAGACTACCATAGTGCAGAGAGCTGCTTTTTACGGGCTAATCGACCAGACATCATTTTGAAGTGGGTTTAGCGTAAAAAAGCTTTCATTGACTCAGCTCTTTCTTTCCTCAAGGTTTTACCAAGAAAACGGAATGTGGCCCGATGCTCTAAGAATTGCCAAGCAATATTTACCACATCAGCTGCAGCAACTGCAGGTGTGCAAAGTTATCCCCTGTTTCCCTCTTTGAGTTTGAATAATGAGCTATCATTTCAGAAGGATATTGCACAACAGAAGCTGTTTGAAAATGGCAGTGGCATAAATTGCTTATTAGCGCAGGGTCGCGCATTTGAAGAACAGCGTGAATGGGCTAAAGCTGTGCAGACTTATCTGAAGGTGAGCTTTTATCTATTTGAAAGAAGGAAAACTTGATACTTTAGGTCAGCTCATGCTCTACGAAAGACGCTTCTTTGATTGAGTACTCTCTCATAAAAAGTACTGATCTAATATTGCGATTTCCAGCTTCGATTGATTATGAGGTGTCTTATTTTATGCGCTATACATAAAAGATTGGTCTTCAGAAAGGCCCATTAAACTTACTTTGCAGCTGATAATGCAAGTCGTCGATGCTCTCGAGACAAATAAAATGTATGAAAAAATGGCAGAAGTGCTGTTAGGCGTTGGACAGGGTCGACAGGCGGTGGCAGCTCTCGTTCGGGCTCATCAGTGGTCTAAAGCCAAGCAAGTTCGTTCTAATCTAGCTTTGCATGTGTTTGAAATAGCATTTTACATTTCGAAGAGAACAAATCAAAATATATAGGAACACACGCAAGTATAAATGCGGTTTTTGTACAAGATATTTTTTAAACTTGAGATTTCCATAGTCCCAATTCTTCGCAACACGTTTTTTAGCTTGCAACGGAATTGATCCCAGATATGGTAGTCGAAGTTGAAGAACAGTATAAGAAATGGTTGGTACAAGAAGGTCGAATGGGAGAGCTAATCGACGTCGATGTCATCGCGGTCATTGACTTGCTTATCGCTAAAGATCAATGGGAAAGAGCACTGCATTTGGCACGACAGCAAAATGTGAATTTTTTCGTGTTTTATTTGTTTATGCTAAGCTACTTAAATCATAATTTAGCATAAACCACTTTTGGACAAATATGTCGCACAATACGCCGCTATACTGCTTGAACACAACGAACTAGACCATTTACTTAAAATTTTTGAAAAATATGGAACTTCCTCTAACCCGGCAAATTTCAATTTATACAAGCACATATTTAAAAAGGTATGTCTCTCTGAAACTTCATATAAAATCGTGGTACTCTGTTTCTTCAGACAGTGTCACGTTCATCCAGTACATCTACAGGAGAGTTTGATGCGCTTAGTCCTGTTCGGGACCTTTTTCTTTCCGTGTATGAGCAGCTCGTCAAGGAGGAATCTGAAAATCAATTTGTAAGCTTCCTGCCTTCAAAATAGCCAACAGTTCAATAAACTAAAGTGCTGAAAAATTTTGGTGTTTTTTTAGATTTTTGAGAGGTATGTTCGTGCCTTGCATCTGATGACTATTCGGAGTGCGTTGGAGGTTCGTTCACTTTTCTGTCATGCAGTATATATAAAAACAAAATTGTTCAAGGACAACATACAGACAGAGGATTCAAAGCAGCTTTGTCTGCAACAGTCGATTTCTCTTCTGCGCTATTCTGATCTCGTTCCGGCTGATAGAGTGTTTTATCAGGCTGGCATTTCTGCTAGGGTAAAAGTTCAACAAAGTTCACCTTTCTGATTCTTACTGTTCTGAAAATGTGTATCAGCATGCTGGTAGAGTGTATTTGCCGTTGGCGTTTCTGCTGCTGAACCATTACCTCGATCTTGTCGACGCCATCAATGAAGGTGAATTTCAAAGCTTTATTCCTCATTGCCAGATCTCACAGTAAAGTTCTAGGTGACGCCTCACTTGTTGATTACGCTCCATTTGAAGGAACTGATATTCCAACCGAAGTACCGCTTCCTGAAAGGCCGTGGGTTGAGGTAGAGTCAATATATAATAACCCCATACTTTTGAGGCAATCTCTCCTGATTCAGAGTTCGAAGCATGAAGAAATCGAAGAATGGGTGCTAGCCACCTCACTGGGCCATGAAGCCAGAAGAGAGTTGAAGTATGACTCCCGCGGTCTTTTCGAGGCAACCATCGAGGCCAACGGCAAGAAGTGGCCTGAGTGCATCATAAGCGGTTTGGAAACTATTGCAAGGAAAAATTGCTGCGGTCATTTTTTCAGGCTACCCAGTAACAAAAACGAAAGTGGATCTTGGAAATCTTCGCGCAGACAAAGACAATCTCAACCGATTTCTGATAGCAGTCAGAACCACACCGACTGATCAGCTTATCAATGTACAAGAGTTCATATCGAGATGGGCCAATCAGCCACTGTTTTTGTCACTATGATGTATTAGTGTTTGAATATGTGGTTGGGATTATGAGAATTACAATTACAGCCGTAATTTTCTCGCACCACTTGCTTACGGTACGGACTACGGTAGTGAAAAATTTGCTGTGTTCTGTGGCTCTGAAGGCTCTTACATAGAACATGGACAATTCATTACATTTCATATTCGATAGAGGTACAAAATTGATCTCGACTACATACTGCTTAGTGGTAGACAGACTAAGCTAGTCCTTCCATAGAAGACTCGAATGCACAGTACTAGAAAGGGACTCAAATCACTCTCACTCGTAAAAGTTCTTAAACCTACTATAAATGTAAATCCTTCACTCGGAGGAGATTCGTTATCAATGTAGTTCTTAGGTTAAACATTTTGCAGAATAAAGAATGAACCTACTCTGCAATGCACTACTATGAATTGCTTCTTACCTAATTTTAAAAACGTGTGACAAAAGAAAAGGAAATTTTCATTTATCCAATTTCCGTTTGACTGCATCCAATAGACGGGAAAAGAGGCATGCGTCCTTCCTCGAAAATCATCAGCAGTGATGGTAGGTCGTAAGCAGCAAAAGAAAAAGCAGAAACAAAAAAAAAATGAAAAAAGGGAACCAACCTCAACTAGTCAATTCTTATTGGTCGTGGTTGTCTTATTCTTGAATCTTGAACCTGGATAATTGAATGAGTATATACAGTGTTTGAGTACTATACAGTGTGTTTCGCCTCTACCCCCTATACGGGTTAGGGTATACACTCCCGAGGCTCATCAGTAGGGAAGAGTGGTGATAGCAGTAATACATAGAAATGAGCTAGAGAACTCTATTTGTACGCTAAGGATAGAGCGAAAAGATCAGAGAAAATTGTAGATTAAAATTTTGGAGATCACAGAAGACTAAGCTTTTGAACAAGAATCTAATAAATTGAAACTTTTTTCATGAATAAATTTTGACAAGCGTAATATAGAAAAGTGTAGATTTTCCGACCCACTAACTTTGAAAGTGAAAAATACCTTTGAGAACTTACAGACTTTGTCTTTTTGATTTATGCAGTCGCATATCAAAAACTGCTCTCACTCATGAGCCATAACATCGCAGTTTGACTATTCTATGCGTAGTGGTTTTTGATCAAATACATATAATTGATTCCATATGCGTAGCTTATTTGCCTTATCTAGAATGTTCTGTACTAGCGGTATGTGATTACGGTTCTTTGCTCGCGAAACAAAAGTGCGAATATTCACACATGAGTGCGAATTTACGGTTGTCTCGTTGAGTCGTCGAATAAATTTATTTTGGCGTACGCGTGCGTAGAGATCATCGGATGATGGACATCAGCGTAGGTGTGAAACAGTATTTGCACTTTTCCGTGAAGAATATCATTGAAAAAACAAGGGCACACAGTTAATTTCTAATGCAAATTTGCCGTAGTAGAATAAATCATACCTCATAGTAGAATTAATTATATGATTATAAAGACGATTTACATAGGTCATTGGTAGTAGTCTTTATATAAAAACAGCACTTGTTAGTGCTATCACCTCAGAGTAAAATTCTAGTACACTGTAGATTTTACTATATCGGCTAGTAACATTTAGAATCCTCGCTCAACTCGTCCATAAAATGTTCTGGCTTCAAGTTTTTCAACATCTACCTACTTATTTTGTCCTAAAGTCTGGCTTCGTCTAAGTACAAACTAGGATTGGTGTTGCTGGCAGGGTTATATCTCAAACCCGAACGGGATTTAGTCTACTTCAAATGATGTTAAATTTGCTGTTTAATTTAACAATCTTAACTGATTTTTATTTTTTAAGATTTATCAATTTTTCAATTGATTACCATACGTTAGTGAATCAGTCAAGCCCCTCTTTTTCCTAAAGTAATAATCGTCAACAAAACTATCCCTTTTAGATGTATTTCGGCGGTCAAACTCGATATATAGTGCTTGCTCTAAGCTTAGCCTGCTTGACACTAATCTTCTCGAACAGCCTAGCACTGAATTTCACTATCATCTGTATGGACGATGTGAAAACGGACTATTATAGTGAGAACAAAAATACTACAGAGGGTTAGTTTCGTCAGATATCTCAAACACTCCGACCTTTGAACTCAAAATCGAAAATAATGAAATGAGTCTACATCTCTGACAATTCACTTTCAGTGCACTGGCTGGACTCTAGCAAACGCAAAAATGCTCTGTTCTCGGCAATTGCTATAGGCTGCATTCTTGGCACTGTGCCAAATTCACTGCTCATTCAGAAGTTTGGACTACGGTAAGTACTACCACTATTTCAATTTTTTCGATTAGAGCAAAAAAGAGACTAGAGACTTGTTTTCAGTGCGGCTGTCGCAGTCAGTGGCCTTCTGACAACGGTTGCTACTTTATCTTTCCCTCTTGCTGTGAGATATGGATTTACAGCAGTATTCATTATGCGAGTGTTACAGGTAAGCTACTGATGAACCAAATAATAAAAAGCTTCCCCTTCATGAGAAAATTTTAGGGTGTGGGCACTGCTCTGTCATTTCCCATGACGGGTATAGCACCAGCGCAATGGTCAACATTGAAAGCTACTGGTACATTCATTGCTATTTTGTCTTGTCATGTGCAGGTATGTTCCGCGACTCGCGCACGGTTTTAGGAGCAAATATCAACTTATTCTTTTACAGTTCTGCAACATTTTCACTATGCCAGTCTCTGGGTTTCTATGCGAAAGTCGACTTGGATGGCCTGCAGTCTTTTATTTACAGGTGGGCAGCAGTTATTTTTCAAAGATCTGGAGATTTAGTCGAAATTTGAATTTTTGATTTTAGGGAATACTGTCAGCGCTTGTATTCCTCGCATATCACTTCTTCTGTACTGATGATCCGGCTAAACATAGGTCAGTACTAATTCGAAAAACGGATGATACTGTACAGTATGGAACAGGTTTAAAATCTTTTTTCAGATGTGTTGGTCCCGAAGAATTAGCAAAAATTTCTGAAGGAAAAAGTTGTGAAAGAAAGCCAAATGTTCCCTACAGGTTCGACAGTATAGCTTCTAGCAATTTTGTAGTTTTTGATTCACGAATGCGAAAATTACAGGGCCATCTTTACCGATAAATGCATACTCGGCGTGTGGTTTTCGATCATGGGAGGGAACCTTGCATTCCAAATATTCTTGATGTATGGCCCAACTTATATAAACAAGGTACAAATAACAAATTCTCAGCAAGGAATCGGTTTATTTTAATGTTTGTTTTTCAGATTCTTCACTTAGGCATTGCTTCGACAGGATTCGCCACCGCCCTTCCTCATATTCTTTCAGCCGTAGTAAAATTCGCGATAGGACCAATATCCGACAAAGCCATCTGCATATCCGGAAGATGGCGATTTATCTTCTTCGCCGCATTATCACAAGGAATGATGGCCATTTGTGTAGTTGCACTAGCTCATGTAAGTTTTCTTTTCTAAGAGTTTCTACTTTTTCCAGAAAAAATATACAAAACCCGGACATAAATTGTATTTTGCGTTTATTTCTTACCCTTTTTCAGCTTAAAGATGCTCGATTAGCTCAAATCATCTATACGACAGCAATTGTATTCAGTGGCATCAACGTAGTAGGAATTATCAAATGTGCACAAGTAGTGAGTTTTTTTCTTTTTTTATTCGGAACCGCATTTTTATAATCAAAAAATATTCATTACTTCCTCAAAATATTACTTGCAGGTAGCAGGCCAATATTCACATTTTGTGATGTCAGTTATGTCATTTCTGACCTCATTCAATGCTCTCTTGATACCTGTAGCCATTAGCATAGTATGTCCGGATAACACTCCAGAACAAGTATGCATTTTTTCTCTAAAAATTCACGTTCTATGGAAAACACTTTCGTTTTCAGTGGAGTCGGTTATTCCTCGGTCTGAGCGCCATCGTAGTCGCAGTCAACGCTCCGTTTGTTTTTGTTGCGAGGGGCGAAGCTGCGGAATGGACGGGCAATAAAGTAAGTCATAGTTTTGATCTGAGACATTTGATCTGACAATGAATGATCTTTTTTAGGTACAGCCGGCGGAGTTGCCAGACAAGAAAATCAGCACTATAAAGGAAGACTTTACCCAGAAAGTCTAGGAATGATTGATAAATTGTTTTGTACAAGAAACAAGGCATTTCACTTTTGATTGTTAGGTAATGATGCTAATAAACGATTCAAATTATTATATGCGCATGAACATTTTATTGCTGTTCAAAATATGCTACTTCACAAATGTGGAGCGCCTAACTCGAACAAGCTTTTCCTTTCTTATAGAGTCCATAACGGTTTGAGAATGGACGAGTTGAACGAATGAAAAATCCGATTAATGCAGTTTTGCGTGAATTAGATGTACTTTGCAGTCTTGCGTAAATTAGAGGTACTTGCCTTGATTTCTGATGTTTACAGAGAAAGATCAAGCTTTCAGTTTGATTTTTGCACTGCAGACTGAGATAAATTCCAAAGTATGTAGTGGAAGTAGAAGAATCTTCTAGAGTTATCGCCAAAGTGGACAATCAATGCAAAGGATTAATCTTATAACTGAGACAGGAGTCGCTTGAAAGAAAAATGCCATTGATTACTCACTATGTAGCACTTTCTGAGCAGTAAAATACGTTCATCAAGTTCAATCAAAAAACCGGAAGACAGGAAGCTTTGTTTGAGGCAAATGTCGGCCTAAATTTGCCACTGCTTTGTTTCAATCTGAGCACACCGGCCAAACCGAGAATTAACTATAGCTTTTTGCAAGGTGCAGCTTACGCCTTTTTTGGAACTCTCGAATTTTAAACTTTTTGGAATCAACTTACTCTGCATGAAATATAATGAAACCAGCATTCTAACTTTCCCACAAGTGGAAAGCTACCTGTAACTTCAATTTCTGTGGTTGTGCACAAAACGATTTATGCACAAAACGTCGCGGCTCTTAGCTCCGTAGCTCATTTTGCAAAAAATAATAAAATCGATACCCATCAGTAACGAAAAGTAGTTTGCGACAAGCTCCCTGCCCCGAAGTACATTTGTGCAAAGTATGGTCCGGATCGGTTCGGAGATAAATTTTTATTTCGCACATATATACATATGAACAGGCAAACAGACAAACAGACATTCAGTTCTATATACACAGTGTCCCGAAAAATGTTCACACTGTTTGATCTCTGATAAATCCCTTGCTTCTATGTCTTCTGCCGAGTTAAGGTACCGTTCTGTAGAGCGAGGTTCAACTTAGATTGAAGTATGGAGCGAATTACCAATCAATCCTGATTACTACAGGATGAAAGAAACTTGAAAAAGATTTTATGCTATTCAGAGCAATATTCTGCCTGAGAATGAAAGTCAAACAAGCCAGAAACTCTGGTAATGGGCTAATCGAAGTTGCTGGCTCTTAATATGAAATTTGACTTCACTGTAGTGTTCTTTCATAAGTTATTTCAAGTTCGAAGTACAATTGTTTTTAATGTTCGCAGAAATGTGATTACACCATTAAGATAGCTTGAGAAACTGGTAAATTATGTAGTGAAACATGGCGCGCATGGAAATTTTGAGCGCATCTTAGCGCATTCTCGATTTATTTATGACAAGGCAAGCCTTTTAAAGGCACGGTCCACCCAAATTTTCGACCTCCATGTTGTGTCGTTCCAGGGCTTTCTATACCCCTGATTCCGAATATCAAATCGAGAGTCCACAAAAACTTCAAAAAACCCTTCCAGAACCCGCAGGGCGGTCTTTGGAACGGTGATTGGTCGGGTGCGGCAGAGAAGGGCGGGATGAGCGTCACGCTCACTCAAAGAGGAGGAGTCAACGTGGCGAAACTGTCATCCGAGCAATTTCCGAGGCAATTTTCTCGCTTCAAGCAACTTTTACCAGAGCGAGGTATAGTTGAGGGCTCCACCACTGCTAGGCATCAAAATTTCATCAACCCCAAGTTGAGTGGACGGTGCCTTTAAGTCGAAGTGGCTTGCCAGGTGATTTCTATACCATTTTGAAGAATATTGAACGATGATTCTCTGTGTACCATGAAGTTTTGAGTGGTTCTGATGTTTCATTTTTAGTAGTTTGAGGCTCGCATCCACGAAAGCTCCAGAATGGGTATGTTTGAGTACAACTGTCTCGTCCATTTGCTACCATAGAATAGCATACTGAAGCTCTTGCTATCAGTGATTAGTTCTGACAAGTTTCTTTTACTTGTCTTTGTCGAGCTTGGTCGTGTTTGCGCCACGTTCATAAACATGTCATTGCTTATCTCTATAGGTGCTCTATAGCTGCATCGTTTCAGATCATTTTTACTGGCCAGTCATCGCCGCACCCACTTTCCAAACTACGTAGTTACTTCATTTCTATAGATTCTTTTTAAATGAATTCCTTGTGCGATGTAAGTAAAGTCCAATTTTATGTTGAACTAGCTGATCTGCCCGGTCCAGCCCGGGAATGATCACTGATCGGGAATGAAGATAAGGTATTCGGTGGCATTGTAGAAACTGTGTAAAGAACAAAAACAAAATGTGAACACTTATTAGTCGGTAGCATATCTCTCTTCCTCCAAATCAAGTTCAACACGCAAAACCTAAGCAAGCAGCGCGAGTTAATTGATAGCAGCGCTCATTGTTATTATGAGGATCATTTTTTGTGACACTTTGCCGTTAACCGGCTACTTCATCTTCATTCACTGCTTGCCGTCAATTTTTGTGGAGTCGGCAGTACTTTGCACTCGCGCACTTTCCTGGTCCCAGGGATCAACTATAGCGAATGTGAGTTGTCGCTTGTCTTGACATTATTTCTGGTATTGACAAATAATTTGTGCGCAATCTCATGAAAAATTTTGACCCCTCATTGTTTAAATTGAGCATGTAACGAAGCAAGCATTGATTATAAGCGTAAACTGAGCGCGCTTCCGTACAAAACACTCGCTACAAAGCACTCATGGTCTCTTGCACGCTAAGGTTTCCGCATAAATACATTTAGTGCATCCATTTGAATGAGCAATTGAGACTCACATCAAGAACACTTTTCACTGCACTTCGTCAACAGAAGTTCACAATGAGACATGCCAGCCTTGTTTACATACCCCTGTTTTGATAGCAAATGATAAGAATCATTTTTATTGCAAAGTGCTGCAAATCAATAAATCGATGGAAGGACCCAACGAATTGCTGCAAAAAGTAGCCTATCATCTGCGCAAGGCTCGAGAACATATGTGTGTAAAGTTTCAGCTCAATCGGTTGAGCGGCGCGCGTTTCTATAACGCACATACCCTCCAAACTGACAATTTTTGAGTTTTATATATATATAGATAATCTACCGCAAACAAAATGGAAGTCGAAAAGTCCATTTCTGTCCGACGACTATCGTGAACAAGCCCAAGGGTGCTCGGCATCTTTCAGAGAATGCTCTACTCACATAATTGGAACGCAGGAGCACTATCTATAGTACCACATTACAACTTCGAATATCAAAGCCAAGCAAATGTTGTGAATTTACGTAGTTGAAGGAGAAACCGTTTTACACAAATTAGAGTGCCAGTCAATGCAGAACGCCTTAGCTACAGCTACTCTGATCCAAAGCGTGCTTTTGAACACACTTGGAATATGGAAAGAGACTTTCTACACTCTTTGACTGATCAAAAAAAATCATGCGAGGGTCGTGTTGATGTTCCAGATTAGATACACACTCGTGCCAGATTTTTGTGCCTAACCCTATGCTATTGGAAAAGGACCAATCTTATAGTCTTTTCTTAGTAAAGCAAGCGGCTTTGCTCCAAAAGTTCTTTTCTTTATTATTGTTTTTTTTTAGAGTTTTTGGTGCAAGTCTTTTCTGTTTATCGCATTTTCTAGCAAATGAAAATTTTAACTGTATCCAAAAACGTTCTGTCATCAAATCTAGATAACAAGCAGAATGGAGTCTGATTTGTGAAGATGTGTAGAGGTTTACATTGGCCTTACTTCATCATTAAGCTTCACTTTATTCTGCTTTTCAAAATGTGAAGTAGTCCAAATCCAACAACAACATCCTTACATCCCTACTTTACCAAGTTTTATACAAGGCACATCATATAACCAATCCTTTTATTACTACCAGAGTTTGCTAAAACTTGCATTATAGGCACAATAAAGTTACATGTTTAAGCTACCATCTAACAGCCGAGAAAAAAATCAGAAAAAAAAGTCAAGTGATTTGGTTACTTGGAAAGCAGTGCGAGTACTTCAAAATGAAAAATTTGGCGGCGTGGACACATGGACGCAGCACTCTGTTATCCATGGCTAAAGTCTGATTTGGCTCTAGATAGAATAGAAGCACAAATTGATCTTGAGCCGTTCTCAATCCTCGTACAAGTCTGAATAGGTAAGAAAAGTCGGCATGCGACGGTGACCACACTAAAGCTTGGAACTATGTCTGAAAACCATTGCATACACCTCAGTCTTGCAACATCGTGAAGACTGGGCGACTGCTGTGGATGAAAGTAAAAGAAATCTTGCCAGCAAAGAGCTGCTTATCACTCCTTTCGGACATAAGGTTATTGAGTCAAAGACATTGGATTCGGATGTACTGTACTGGGTAACAGTGATATTTCTAGAAAAAAAGGTTTCCATGGATTCTGGATTCTGCTAAAGACCCTTGCACACATAGTCGGAGTTGTTAATTGTCGATCATAGATATTTTTGTACCGTTGTACTGTTATGCGTGATAGAAGGCCAATAGTGATGAAATCAATCATCGAATATATGACATTCCTTATTAGAAGTAGGCAACTAGAGCAAATTCTGCGCAACGACGGTGGAGCAGGTGAGTTCTTCTTTGCTATTTGATTTTTGTTTTTTCGCGTTCTCGTCTGACATGGGGGCTAGCCGGAATGGAGGAGGTTTCTGATGGTGTTAGCATGGGAACATAAATCTCCTACTGCAGTAGGCCTCTAAGAAGACGTCAAAGTCGAAAAGTTAGTCCGCCATCAATGAAGTCGTACTAACCTCGCACCGGCTTACTAACATACTAATCACTACACAAATGCCGAGGCTGGAAGCGAAGCTCACTATCGCGACTAGAAACTTTTTACTACCAAAACATCTCCTTTTCTTCGAAAACCATGCTGTTCGAAATGGCTTTGAACGTACTGTAACCGTGACACTTGAAGATATAGCATCAACCACAAAGTATGAAGTAAACAGAACATCAGCTGTGAAGTGATTGTCATGGTAACTTTCTTATCCACTTTACAAGCACAAACATAAAGCTTGTTTCATCAAATTTTCTAGCTTATCTTATTAACCACCACTGCGAACTTGTCAGGTGAGTAGACACCATTTCTCAAACGTCGCTTTGTTCGTCTGACCTGCTGTTCTTTTAATTCTAGAAGTGGCCAGGCAATCCAGGAATGGCGTTAGGTTAAAAAAAAATTTGCCGTTGTACACGCTGCCGAGGCTCGCGAATACTAAGGCACCTACATATGAACATCCTTGCGGCAGCAAAGCGGCGTCCCCCGTCATGAAGGGGCAGCGGACAAACGCCGCTTGCTCATTTCTAGAAACGCAGCTCTCCATGGCGCAGAGATGTTCATGCATACGGGCCTAAAACTTTACAAGGGAGATTATTCAGTTACGTAACAGCATTACAGTAGTAGAAATCATGGGATATATATAATAGCTAATGTTGTGATGATGTGTTTTCTGAGATTGTTTACTCTTTCCGTAATGATTGTAATTAGTTTCTTGCTTCTGCGCCTTCCGTCGCGCCCCCACTGTCGTCAATTGTTTACGTAATCTACAGCCTTTATTATTCTAGAATCATCATCAGGGTCAAGCGTGGGGTGCGGCACGCCACACCTGGGGGGGGGGGGGTCGTATTGAGGAGTCAAAAGGGGGGGGGGTCGTAGTTGGGTAATCTGATAATACTGATAACATGATATTTGTATCATATCCATAATTAGCATGTCAATTAACAGCTGTAGACAAAGTGTGAGCGAATTCTGAAGATTCAAGATACTAAGCTACCTAAATGAAATGGTAAAATTCCAACATGGTTAACTTTGTTTCAAAGGTGACTTAGCTATCCGTTTTTGCACCCTGAACAAAGCACTACTCCTTCTTTGTCCACCTCAGGAATCCCGCTTCAGAAGACCTGCAAACTGTGGAATTAGAAGCCAACCAAAATCTCGTTTTTCTCATTTTTCGTTTTTGATCGCTGTGCTTTCACCAAATATTACTCAGAACTAGAAGACGAATCAGGCTCCAAACAGTCCTATGGAATCTACAAGGTTTAGGCTATCGATTCATATAAATATTGTCCGCTAAAAATGTTTTTTTGATATAGTTAATGGGGTGCGGCACAAGCCCTTAAAAGCTGCGGCTGCCGCAGCTTTTAAGGGGGTGTGCCGCACCCCCTTAACTTGCCTTCAAAATCCAGAAAGCGCTCCATTGCTGGTATGAGTATTGAGCACATAGCTTCTTCTTGCTACACTGGAAAATTAGAGCCGAACGCCCCACCCATAAGAAAATTATGGCCTTTTCAATAAGCCCATTCAGATCAAAATCAGCCGTCAAATTACGTTATTGTAAAGTGCAGTTACAGAAAATCGGGCGTACAGCTCTCAGGAATCTGAAAACTCTCTAGAAAAAGCTGGTCCAGAATGTCACACTTTGAGGTCCAGAGGTTAAGAGGAGGAAGAAGGGGTCGTTTGAGGGCTTCCATGGGAGGGGGGGGGGGTTTCGAAAGACTTGTGCCTGACCTCTTTCTCAACTCTGGTAATGCTATCTTAGGTATATAGTTCAGGGGGGTCTTATTACGACAGCAATCAGGGGGGGTCGTAATCAGCGATCGTGTGCCACACCCCTTGCTTGACCCTGTTCATCATGTAAGTTATATTAAGTATCTGTTAGCTTGTCGGTAACAAACGTTAATGCTCACTGATCATAAGCCGCCAGGTCATCTCTCCACTGTGGTTGATAGACTACTTGGCGGCGTCTAAGTACATGTAGGCAATCCTTCATTCTGTGATAATGTTGTTTGCCAGAAAAGAGCACTAGGTCATCTAGCCCGAAACAGTGGCATAAAGGGCTCGAATACTTAGTTCTGGTGTTCATTCGATATTATTTATGTCAGCGGCTGTTCCGCATATGTGAGCGGCTGCTCCGCTATTATCTCATAAACAGTTTACAACGTAATTGCTACCAGCTTGGTCCAATCAAATTGCTGGAAACCTTGCAATTTTTATCCTTTCGAATTTGAACTTCTTTTCACAACTTTTCCATGAATCGTTGTAAAACAGTAGCAGCACATTAAAAGAGCTTTCAGAATATTATCAAAATCTGCGACCCATGCTTTTTGAGATGCTCAAGTTTCACAATTTTTCCAAATTTTTATATCAACTCTGCGAAAGAGTCCAAGTAATGGATAGAGCAAACCTTATAGGACAGAGTGCAACTGATTTCCCCTTTTTCATAGCTCGCCATAATTTTTCAAGATTTTTTGTCAAAACCATCAGCTTTTGGCAGGTCTACGTCAGCCGCAATCGCGTCAAACACCAATGATTATTCGAAAATCAAGACTTCCATGGTCGTAACATGATTTATCGTCGCCTCCCCGGTGTACGTTGGGCGGAGCATACGTTGGCTGACTTATCAAACCTCTACTGAAGTATGGTTCTTCGTACTCTCTAAACACGTATATATGCTGTTGTCACACGTGGCAGAGTTGGTGGCGAGAGATTACAAAGAACAATGGAGTAGAGGATACAAGTCACCAACGTATTCAGATGTCAGCGTATTCTCCGCCCAACGTATATCGGAAAGGCAACAATAGCACTAATTTTACAAAGCAAAAGAATGTTTACGGATTCAAAATAACAAATTTCGCGTTTTTTTCGGGCACTGCCCGGGGAACGTTTGAAAAAGATGAGTTACGATGAATCCCCGAAGACTAAACGAATCGGAAATAAGAAACAGCCAATTTCTTTTGAATAGCCATTGCCAAGAATTGGTTACCTCAGGAGTCGCGCTGACCTTCACTGGCTTTGAAAATGCCTTAGAAATAAAGTTGGTTTCTTTAACGTATAAAAATATACGAACGATATTCACAATCGAATCCCGACACTTATAGTGCACAACAAACACAAAAAAATGCAATTAAGTTTCACTTGCAAATTGAATTTTAGTAGATGACAGATGATGGAAAAGAAGGCAAGAGCAGTGACCACCTGGTCAATGCACATTATCACACTACCTATTCTAGCTCAGATTGTAGGCATGGACCACAATAGTTAAGGCCCGCCCCTCTCCATCTCTCAAACTCCGATCTCTCATCGGCGTCTGTCCCCTGGGTATATACGGCCACACCCATCCCACTGGATCCAAATCGATCCTTAGAGAGCCTCTGAGCCATGCCACTCTCACCGTCAGAATCTATGGTTCTCCCACCGGCGTGTGTCCGCGGGGTATGACAATCGCGCTTTACTAATTAGCATCGGTTATTGATTGCCAATAACTCATGGTAGAAGGAAACAACCAGCCAAAGGAAGTATTAATATAACATAAGGGTCCCCTCAGATCTAAGCGCTTCCTGCGCTTAACAGCATGAAATAACTTCTCACCTTTGAAGAAATTTCTCAAGTGTGTATCGTAAGCAAAAAAAAACTGTATGAGACTGATCCCAACATCTCTAAATTCTCACACGCTTCCAGCAACTTTTTTTACCACGCAGTCGGCAACACTACTTTCTTTGACAAAAAAAAGTTTGTGACTCCGATCTTTCCGACTTCGGGAAGATAACTAAACACTGGGCTCCCAGGTTTACCAACAAGAACGGTACTACATGGAAACAATACAGAATAACATTGGCTAACGATTATAAGCAAAGTAGAACTTGGTAACAATAACAGGAAAAACACTAACAATGAAATCACTTAGAGATTCTTCACAGCAGGAACTAGTTGCAGGATGACACTTGTGGTGACTGGTCAAACATCGAAACATTGTCCTCCCAAATTGCATTCGTCGAACATTCCCGATCCTTGTTTCGTGACGAATCCTGGGTTGCGTCGCCATCTTGATCTTTTCCGAGCGTTTGCGCTACAAATACATGGTCCTCCTATGGCTTTCGCAGGTGGCCCTAAACTAGGATGGGTGAGTCGAACGGCCATACACCATCCGTCAACATCAACAGCAAGGGTGATTCCCTCCCCCCCCCCCTACGGCATTTCCGCCAGGCTGATCATAATTCCCACCTTTCTTTTGTTGGAAACGCTCCAACGACTCATTACTTCTTCTACCACATTTTGAGGCTATGTGCCCAACCCTGTGACCCACACGAGTAACATCTCGGTGCGTCTTTATTTGGATATCTAAAGCACTTTTCTTTGGAATAAGGGTCTGCTTTCCTTGGCTCGCGTCTACCTTAGAAGTGTTGGCTCGGACGGTCCTGCACCATCCCTCAACATCGTCAGATAGGGTGATCCACCCTATGCACTGCTATGAGGCTGAATGCATATCATGCCTCTTTTCTGTAGAAATCGATTAGCCGTCTTGTTTTGGTTCCTCTTATCACACTTCACACAAGAGACGTGGCCGACTTCGCCACAAGTAAAACTTTTTACAGGTGCTTTATCAGTAGTTGCATCACTAACAAGGGGTTTACTAAAACTCGCTGGATATCTTACTCCAACTTTGCGGCTTCACATAGGCATTTACCCTTTTTGCTCGAACATTCGAGTCACTAGGGTGCCTCACCGCTCCATCTTAAATCTTTTCCAGCCTTCTTGCTACCTTCTTGACTGCTTTGTAGACTTGCCCTTCAGGCGAGTCTAATACAGTAAGCATGTGGTAGGAGTCCTGCCAATTCTCCAAGCATGAATACAGCTTGGAGCTGCGAATGAAGTTCCATTCGCTGCTAGGATGGATTCTCCTAGAGAGATCCTCCATCCGCCAGCAAAAATCTACCACTGCTTCCCCATTCCGCCTTGAGAGTTGTTCCCACATTCTCATATTCTTTGAGGCGTCACAGGAGTCTCCGCGCTTGCTTAGAGGTTCTACTACACCCTTGAAGCTCCCTTCCCGCACGCTTTGTGGCAGGCTTTTGAACACCGCCTTAGCCGTGCCTTCCAGGTAATTAACTAGGATATCCCTCCTATCCCTATCCTGCCATAGCTTTCAGGGGATTTGACTTCCAGCGCCGGAGCAAGTCGCTAAGGGAGTTTTTACCCGTATATCGTGGCATGCTGGCCACGCTTTGTGCTTTGAAAACCTCTCTAAACATTGTGAACATGTCCGTCACCGGGTTCCCAGCACCTACTCCCTCTCTATGTTCCATATTCATAACTGATATGGACTCAATGATCGTTGATCCTTGGGAGGACAGCGCCGACGATGGTCGCGACGACTTGGGTGAGGCTTGGTATGGGTCGGATAGTGGCCCAACGCTTGTTCGAAGTGCGTGGTATCCCTGAATAATTGTTGACACTGTGTTTGTAATGTTCGGTAATTTTCCCGAATAGAATGTGAAAGTTTACACTCACCCTCGACTAGGCTTGCCGAAGCTGTGGCTTGTGAGTCCACCTGCGAGGGTCCTGAGAGTTCTTTGAGTTCTGTAACACCAATATTTGCGATTGCAAATCCTACTCTCTCCTTACACTGTTCAACGCCTCTAACCTAATCTTAGATTGTGAGGCCGACAATCTGTTTTCCGGGTCGGCTATAGTTACATCCTTATCCTCAACTACGGCCACTAACTCATCTATCTCACACCCAAGCCTAGTCCCTAACCTCACCAACATTTGGCTGTAAAAACTGGTCATGTGGATATACTCAAGCAATTCCTCGACGTTCATTTAATATTTATCAAAACGGAGTGCGAGTTAACTACACGGTCCAGTCCCCCCCCCCCCCCGAAGCCAACTTGCAACCTCTCGCGCAGCGAAATCAATATCTGATCTCGCTTCTCGCGCGAGAGGTGCCTAAATTGGCTATCCAACATATCCCCCATAAAAGTCAATATATCATCAAATTGACTATCATTCACTTCAAGTGAATTCCAGTTGCTCAGCGCATTGTCCTGGCCAGCGGGGATGTGTCCTGGTGGCGTGGCGTGTCCGCTTGCCTGCTGCTCCATTAACGAATCCATTTTGGAATTGTGCAACAAAAAAATCAGTCGTGTGAACTCTTTACCGACTCGGCCCCCAAGTCGGTTTTTTCAACGTATAAAAATATACGGACGATATTCATCGAATCCGACACTTATAGTGAACAACAAACAGAAAAAATGCAAATAGGTTTTATTTGCAAACTGAATTTTGGGAAGAGAACAAAGGCACAATAATAATAAGGAATAGAGATGACAAGATGATGGAAAAGAAGGCAAGAGCAGTGGCCAGACTTGGTCAATGCACAATATCACACTAGCTATTCTAGGCTCAAATTGTAAGCGTGGACCACCTTAGTTAGGTCCCCGCCCCTTTCCACCTCTCAGACTCCGATCTCCTATCGGCGTCTGTCCCTTGGGTATATAAGGCCACACCATCCCATTGGATCCAAATCGATCCCTAGAGAGTCTTCGCCAAGTCCCTCTCACTGACAGAATCTACGGATCTCCCACCGGCGTGTGTCCGCGGGGTATGACAATCGCGCTTTACTATTATCATCGGTTATTGATTGCCAATAACTCATGGTAGAAGGAAACCAGCCAAAAGAAGTACTAATACAACAATATAGCAAGTGCACCTGTACCATCAGCATACTTAATCATTAACTTATCTAATGCTTGAGCAAGTAATCTAAGAATCCTTGTCAATTTTGGATCTCCTTGATTAAGAACGTATTCTGGATCAAAATCCTAAATCAATTAAAGACAGCGTCTTGGCAAAAAAGTGTGTGCTGAGTTTTTATTTCGATGCTAAAGTAGAAACCCCGCCCTACCTAATCGATGACCGAAGTTCGGAGCGAAAAAGGGGGTTTACCAAGGCTGAAATTTGCTCCGAAAGTGGCCCGAATCTTACGGTAGGCCGAATGCCGCCCGCACAGCATTTCGAACTGCAAGGCCACAGCACGCAGAGCGCACGCAATCATGAGCGCAGGGTCCCGCAACGACTTTGCGTTTCTATCTTGAATGCAAATCGTACTCGCCCGAGCTTACCGTAAGATCCGGGCCGCTTTCGGCGTAAATTTCAGGCTTGGTAGACTTTCTTTTTCGCTCCCAACTTCAATCATCGCCTGGGTAGGTGTTTACGATGATATCGCCACAAAAACCCGGTACTTATCTTTTTGCCGGGACGCTGCCTTTGAGCTGAAGAACGCATTTTTTCAATATTTTGTATGATGGGGCACAAAGCTCTTTTACCTGAGCAACGCGTGAATTCGCTATTTCGAACTTTTTCACAGTGATCAACCTAACAGAGGACAGGCAAATTGTCAAGGATAATTTCTGAAGGAAAATTTTTTTTCTGTTCTTATGTATCATTGTCTCCATTTGCACCTTTGCCGTATCTTTTGTTTCGTATATAATTGTTTTGTTTTGTTTTTAATATTTTGATGCTGTTATTGTTTGTTGTTTGTTGTTAAATAAATTTTTTATTAATAGCTGAGTTGTGATACATCATTAATAATACAGTACGCACATGAGTAGGAACACAATTAGTAATCCAAATAATATGTAGCTTAGGTTAGTGGGGGGATGTCCCTCATTTAACTTTATTTCCTCAACAGACGCTTGTGAGAACACTTTCTTTGCCGCAGCTATGGAACCTCTCTTAAAATCCAACACAACTCCCAGCCTACAATGGCCCCATGACTTCCAGTTCTTCTTTGAGCTGCAGGAATATAAGCTCGTACATCCGTTCCGTCTTCGACGTTATGATGGCGTACAACAATGACATGTCTATCGTGTTGTTGCATACACCATGGACTGTATGAAACTTTTTCTTGGCCCTTCCCTTCTTGGCCCTTCTAGTCCCTTCTTCATGGTTAGTAATAGGCTGCAAGTCTTCCACGCCATCATGCATACAGTCCATGGGTGCGCGCCCTCTAAAATGGAACATCTACTTTGCATTCTCATCTGCATGTAGAACCATGTACCTCTATCGTATCCGCTAAATAGTACATATGTAGACCCGGATTCTGGAATTGGAGAAAGCGTGACCCATCCGACAGCGCTGCATGCCGTGCTGGAACTGTTTCCATCGTGCAAGACGGGTCCTCCAAGCTCTTGATGGTAGTACTAGGATGAATACTAGGTTAGAATAGTAGGAAATACTAGAATACAAACACGAAATAAATAGGATTGGCACTCGTAAATAAGGTTGTCATATAGTGGACATGCGAAGTATAAGGGTACGGTATTGTCTGAGAAAGTGTCCGCCGTAATAGCTTCGAGCGAATACCTTATTGCCAGTTCACGACCCCGCGCGCGCTTAGCCCCAGCTATCCTCATTGGCATATACCCAAGAAACATGTACCAACTTCTGAAAAAAACTATAAAAATTTACTGTTTTGGGATAATTTTACGTCTACTAAACGAATATATCGAAAGTTTAAAAAATTGGAAGGAATTTTCTGTAACGTTGCATTTCGAAAAACCATCAGTTATCCCACACCTTCCTCGCGAAAATGCCAGTGAAAACGGGTGCCAATCGAGATAATTTTGGAAAATCCAAGTGGGTCATGTGCACCATTGCTCTGTGCAATCGAACTTGGCACAGTGAAGTTCGGAAAGTTTCTCATTGCGAAAGAATTCAGAATCTGAAATAAATTGGTTGGATTAGGTCCAAAGTGCTCCATTTTTGATTTTTTTTTTGAAATAACTTAGAATTTTTTTTACATTTCGATCATCCACATCTATTTTTTCCGTGAGCAACATTATTTTAATGAAGTCATTTATTATTGTGAGCTCAGTCTCAACAAATCTTGCGAGTACTGAGAATGTACATAATATTCTCCTAATCAATCGAGACCTGATGACAATCGTTAGATAACCTCGCACCTATGGGACTCCGCGTTCGGTGGTCTTCCTGCCTCTGAGGAAGACGAGGGCGCCGAAAGTTGGGTGTATGTATGTTGCAGTGGCGCACCGAGGGAAGGAGGGGGGCGCCGTTTGAGAATGGGTCGCGGAATTTTTGAAAGTTACTTATATGGGTTATAAAAATGTGCAAGTGACTTGTTTATACTTGTAAATAATTAACACATTCGCGACAAGGCCGATTTTTCGATTACTGCCGTTCCGGACCAGAGCCTTTTTCGTTTTGTCAAATTTACGACCCATCCGTGGGTCGTATTGTTCGAAATGGTAGTCTTTCTAAAAGAAATTTAAAACATGCCTCCGAGAATTTCTCCTCAAGGATTATCGGAGGCGCTGATTACCAAAATCTGATTTAATTCAGTTTTTGGCAGTATACGGTAAGGTTACGGTAGTCATTCTGCACGAACCCAACATCATGGATTTCCATGTAAAATTGTGCTTTGAGGTTACACGTGCTGATCACGATCATAGTGTCCACGTTCACTACTTTCCTACAGTGGGACTACGGTAGCAGTACGGTAGAATCTTCTTAAGAATCAAGAAACTGATGTAAGAAGGCAGTATTAGAACTTGAGACTATCATTTTCGTAATCAGCATGCTGAAAAACTTATATATGTAAGGTTTGAGCTTCCTGGGTTGAACAATGCGAAAATCAATAAAATCAATAAAATTGACAATTTTTGATGGGCTGACATCGTGCCCTCCCTTATTTCTCGTGCATGCAAACTTGATTTTTCAAAAACAGCACCACCCTGCGAAGAATTCGAGCTAAAGTCTGTGCTTTACCTCTATCTACGGTATACCTGTAACATTACTTTACAGTATCCCGAACACGGATCACTCTGGCTGGAGCTTCGCCAAGGTGTCCCCAATCATGTGCCGTAGAATTCCCCCGTATGTATACTGGCAAAGCTAGAGCTTCAGGAGTCTTACGACCCACCGGTGGATCGCATTGTCATGAATGTGTTAAAATTATCTTTAAAATGTTTCAAAAATTTGAAGTAGCCCTATAAAACAATTTTTTGGGGGGTGTGGCTGACGCCACGCCCCCCTTTTCTGAAATTTTGGGGTTATGGGCCGCGAAAATTTTAAGAAGCATACCAAAAATTTTTTCTGGATCGTGACTAACGCCACGCACCTTCATTAGAAAAAATTTTCGTCGCCCCCCTTCCCCCGAACGGAAATCCTGGGTACGCCACTGGTATGTTGGTGATACATGTATGTTCGTGTGTACTATACAATCACCGAGTGAACATCATCTGGCAGGGCTATCTCACATGAATGAAAAGATACAACATGCGATAGAACAAGTAAGTTTGTCCGCCGCACTGTGTTGTGATTACATTTTCTCAAAATGTAGATTTACACAGTTATAGGGAGCAAAGCATTCTATAGCAAAAAGGAAGCAGCACATTACAGACACGAACACTGAAGAAAGCATCCCTGAGCGCATGAGTGCAGAAACAGAAATATAGAAAGCGCGGCGAAAGTACACTCAATCAGTACGTGAATGCAGCAGGACGAAGAATAACAATGAAAATTTAGGCATGAGATATGGTGTATAGTGCGATGTACACCACGCATTAGATTTTACGCCTACTTCTAACGGTAACGATTGGATTTAGGTTTTACTTTTATAATCTTGTATTAGAAGATTGTAGAAGTAAAACTTATATTGTCCGGTCACGTTGTACGAAGGGCAAACGACTCTTTAAAAAATCCATACTAAACGTGAATCCTATCCCAATTTGCAATTCCCAGTTAACTCGTATAAAAAAACTTTTCAGCTCCACGGGATAAGTAAAAAAAACAAGAATGCAAAGTTCATTTTGAATGCGAAGCACCATAGATATTGGAGATCATGCGATCATATGATCCTATCAAATGTCTAGACATTCTCATAAACCACTTAAGTTATTCGAACCACTCCCCCAATTCTAATCAGAATCTATGTATTTGCAATCCTTGATTTTTCAATATCAAAATTTTTTACCGAAATTCTCAAACCTCATTTCTCGACCATTTATTCGCAATATCGACTACCATTTAATCAATAACTTGATAACACTCGATTTTTTCCAAAAATAGGAACAGAATGTTGAGCACAATTTATTTGAGGAAAATAAGGCAGCATATATCACGGCAGCAAAAAATGAAAGGAAAAAGAAATTTGTTACAAGCTTCACAGTAAAGCGGCAGGATTCAGAAGTAAAGGTAGTAGTAACTTCCAAGGGCTTCGATATTGTCGCGGATCCGGCAAATTTTCCTTTCCAGGTCTCCATTTGGCCGAGATTTCAACTCTGTAATAGGTCACTTCAAGATTTGCAAGTCTTGGAATTTTATCACATTTAAAGGTGCAATTCTTTTAAAAATATTGAATGCAGTACGACTTGGTTTTCCTTAGTGTATACAGAGTAGATCCTTGAAGTTTTCTTCATTCTTTTCCAACATGACACTCGTGAATGTAGCATTTAAACATCCTGTTATCCTTTTAGCTATTTATCTTAACAGCTTGTTAATAAGCTTTGGTACACTTTCTTTGTTTTCCTCTGGAAAATTCTAGGGAATTTGGAAAGGTGTCATCTGTAGCACATATGGGAAAGGGATAAAGGGCTACCGCTGGCACCATTTATGCCCTCAGGACATGACTTACAGAAAAAAAGAAATAAACTCCATAAGGGCACTCCAACCTCTAATTTTTTTCTGTGTCCTAAAAATTCTCTTGTTCTTCTTTTCCATTTCTTTAGATTTTTTATGCACATCTGGCAGCATTGGTAACTATACTAAGACAGTTTAGAAGTTTAAGCTCTCCAATAAACAAAATTGGGAGTTTGCCAAAAATAATTTCGAAAATTTTCGAAAAATTCGGTTTTGAAAAATTTGGTTTTTTATGTGCGACATGTATATATCAAAAATCTGCAACACTACACATAAATCGGAGATAAGGAAAAATCAACAAAGTTATGGTGATTTTTTCGAGAAGTGTAACAAAACTTATATAACAACCTAATACTTGCCCACCAGAAAAAAGCCAGATTTCTCAACCATCTCACATTGACTCAATCACTACCTTTTTCAAAATTTGATGTTGGTCAACCAAGAATTTTTAGAAGAATGACTTGTAAACAGCTGAAATTTTGCCATTTTTTTTCGCGTGAACCTTGCCCGGAGCCCAAACAAACATCTCGACGGTGAGGATCATCCAAAGGTTGCTGTTGAAGCTGTGGTGCAAAATGTCCTCCTCGAAAGTAGAGGGATTAGGAGCACAAGAAGGGGTTGTAGACTTTGGCCTTCATTTTAACTCGGGATGATTTCAAAGGACGTAGCTACTGTAAGAGAAAGAAAAGCTCTGTCTATTACGATTCAGTTGCCAGAACTCGGCACGAGGTGGTTAACGGAAACGCAAAGAACAAAGTCCCCCTAACATTCGCAAAATTCTGCGAGGTCCCCTTTGACCCTTATCCGAACCGAATCGACTAAAAAACCTAATTTCAAACGTTGAGTTCTCATTCTCATCAAAGAGTTCTTATTTTGTAATGAAAGGAAAATGCAAAAAAAATTTTTTTTGTCATTCTAGCTGTTTGTTAGGGTTAGCTTCAAACCTGCTTCTGCCCTATCTAGCAATGTTGTCATTTCCATAACAAGGCCGGGCTCTTGACTATGACTTTCGCGAAGGATTTGCGAGATCTTCTCTAAAATTGAGAGAAGAGAGTCGTCTGTCGAAGGAAGTGTTCGCTTTGCTAGATTGAGCAGATCACTATAGGCACCTACTGAACGTCGGTAAAGCCTTTGCTGAGCACTTGGATCTTCTAAATTTGAATTTTTCAGTCAAATGTTTCACATGAAGGACAGCAAGATCTTACCTTCTATTCTTGCGTGAAAGAAATAGGCATCAGCGAGAAGAATTCGATGTGCTAATATTGCGCTTGTAGTGTCCACTGGTCGCGCCGCTTCCAGAAGGCTCTAAAAAAACAATCTTACTAAAGACCGATTAAAGGCACCGCCTACCCTAGGTTTGGGGTCCTGAGTTTTTGACAGCTTATGATAGTAGGACCCCCTATTGAGCCAACGCCCGAGGCGCGACGCAAAATGTCCTTTCGGAAGCGAGAAAATTGCCCCGGAATAACGAAAATGCATGGAATCCCAAGTCGCACCGCCCCTCCAGTAATGCCCGCCCATCCGTGCGCGCTTACCCATTCGCCGTCCCGGAAAGCCGGCCTGCAGGTTCTCAGGAACGGGGATTGTCGGGATTTTGCGGACAAGTTCATATTTGGAAATCAGGCACATGAGAAGGTCGCGGAACGATCAAAACATGGAAGTCGAGAATCTGGGTGGACGGTGCCTTTGAATCCTGATTTTTGTAGGTTTGAAAGCCTGACCTCGTAGTAGGTATATCTCTCATGCAGATCCTGTCTCAGACGTCGAATTCGTCGTTCATCTCCTTCACGAGGTTGACGTAGTAGGTAGAACAACTCAGCTTCATCCTCTGCCACTCGTGGACAGTGAAAGTCTTTTAGAATTAGCAACTCTTCTCGATCTATAACGTTTAATTACAAGAATTAAAGCTCATTAATTTTTTTCACTCTCAGAAAAATCGTTGTTTGAGTTAGATCTAACATAAGAAGTACTACCAGTCAAAAAGCAAATTCAAATTACTACAATTTTCATATCTTGTTTTTTTTAAACAATGGGAGAGAAAGTTATGTCGCCGAAAAGGGAAATCTCGTGCGGGCATTTGCAACCTATGTATCTCTGCATATTCAACACTCGTGAAAGCTGTCCGCGCGGGTGGAGTCTATCGTCGACATATCCTTCTCAACACTGATATGTTTTTTCTTTCTTATTGTATGCCAAGAACATGTCTATAGAAAAAATACCAACGTAATGCTTCTCCGCGGGAAATTAGTCTGGTTATCTGATCGAATGTTTCTTGATCTCTCTCCAAGACGCCATCATCGTAAACTTCGCAGTAGCTATTTCTTCTGGAACAAAGCAGCAATGGCTTTAGAACATAACTCAAGCTAAAGCGTTGAATAAATTCTTCTAAGTTTTAACTATTTCTACTTCTTCTAGTCAACCCCCTGGTTGATTCAATTAACAAACTTTCTCAACACTGTTCCAAAATTTGCGCAACAAACTGTACGTGCTTTCTTCTAAATTTGAAAGAGCGTTTCATTTTGGATATGCAAATTCGGTCCCAAACATTTCCCTTGAAAAAGGACAGACGCCTCAAGAAAATCTCTAACCTAATCATGTTTTGGGCTTGAATGTTCAAAACTCTTTACGTTCCAAAATTTCACTTGCACAATTTTATAGCTCGTATTTTAAGCCTCACGTTGGCATTTGAGCCTCATCGGGAAAAGGAACCCCTCCCTCCCCCCTCTGACAAGCTATTCGACTACAAAATTCAACATGAACAAAGCTAATACACAAGCACAATCAAGCACACCGATGTTTTTTCCAGTGAATTTTTATCATTGCCCAAACAATACACTAGATCTTCATGACTATCTTCAGTTCTGCACTTTGCCAATATTACCTTTCCCTTTGAGAAGTCCCAGCGGAACTGACAACTGGTATATTAGAATGAGGTCCGGTCCAAGACGAGGCATTGGTGTGGGCTGCAGAGTCATTTACGAACCTTTGACGGTAAGATTCCACTCGTTCGGTTGAAACCTCTGCTCTAAAATTAAACATTCTCTCTGCGTGGAGGGGAGGGGTGGGGGCAAAGAAAAGCGGCAAAAATTAAAAATTTCAACCTAGGTTCCGTCCAGCTCTGCTCTATTCTAGAACCACCCTCTTCTCCCCGCTCTTCTGATGATGTTCGTACTCGATTGCGCAGATGCACGTAGACGGTCTATAAAGGTCACTACTTTTTCAAAATTGAAATTTTAGCAGATGAAAAATGCGTAGGTGGATGCAGAATTACCTTTTCGGGCCCAGAAATTTTCAAAGTTTTGTTAAAAACAGCTTCCGGATGATGATTGAGTTGCCTAACTGTTAGATTCCTTTGATCACGAAACTCACGACTCATAACATCTTGGATATATTCACGAACATTGACATCCTGAAATTATTGACTGAGGGAAGCCAAGAAGCGTTCAAATCACTTACATCCGTTGCTTCTTTGAGATACGAGCTCCCATTCTCGTATGCCCTTTTGCTTAACGTGCTTCTGGCTTCGCTCTCATCAATGGAAACTCTCTTCAAGCTCCGACTATCAACTTCACGAGACGGTCTTGTGGTGACCGCTGCAATTAATATCTGAGTTCACCCATTCTCTGCACAATGAGTAAAAATGAGAAAAGTTACGGTCTGACACTGGTAAGTATAAGCAGGTCTAGCTTGTAGAACAGAGGAAGGAAATCGGCGATCGCGCAGTGTGTCATATTCTGTCACACTTCTCGAAGCAATTCGTTCAACATCGTAGGAAGAAGACTGTGGTCTAAACAGCCAGATCAAAATGACATCAAGTTAGAGAATCATTACAACACCGCTCGTAATCTGTGAAAAAAATTGGCGGCGGCGGCCGCGGGAAGTGAGGTGGGCGCCGCAGGAGTTCGCCGAAAATTTGGGTTGCACCGCCACATCTCGGTTCAGAGTGCGTGAATTTCGAATCCGAAAACACCATTCGACTCAGTTTGCCGAGACGCATCTTCTGAGAGATAGAAGAACCTAGTCGGTTGGGTACTGTAGGGTTGCGATATTCAACCAATTTCATTATAGGTACTTGAAATCTTGCCTCAAATGGATTACTCAGTGTGCTGATTTCAGTGGCCACATTCTGTTAAACGTGCTGCAGCGATATTGTACGACCCCATACCAATTATTCCACAAAAAAAACAAAAACTGACAATCCGCGTTTTTTTCGTTTTCTCCATAACTTCCTTCAGATTGCACAAAGCATCCGAAAAACGCATAATGCTCAGCTCGTTAAGGCGAACCCAGTGATACAATACCGCTCACATTTTTTGAAAAATAGACGCGAATGTATGGACATGTATGGACATGTCCGTACCTGTATGGACATGTCCGTACATGTATGGACATGTCCATACATCAGCGTCGCGTGGCCATATCTCGCTTCAGAGTAGACGAATTCTGAATCCAAAGCCACCATTCGATTCAGCTCGGCGCGGAGAATCTTCTGATATATTGGAAGTGGGTTTACGATGTTTTCGATATTCCGTTTTCAGTTTTTTCAATTTGTTCTGCGGAGGTCCTTTCGCGAATATGTGAAGCAACGCCTACCCAACATAGAAGACCTTACTAAGTGTTAATCGATAATACTGTTCTTGTAGATTATTGTGCGCTAAAAAGTAGGCTCAGACTTCTTTTCAAAGGAGATAGAAGCGTTGGTGAATTTTGGAAAAATCACGCGTTTCTGAATTCTACTCGCCATAACTTCCTTCGGAACAAGTATATATTCAATCCGAAAACAGGGCCTTGCTCAGCTCATCAAGGCGAATCTTCTCATACACAGCGTGTCCTTGATATATCGATTTCAGTACTCTTGAATCTTTCTGAGGACGTCTTTTCGCGAAGGTGTAAAGCAGCGAGCATTGTCCCGAGCACATTCCAGCAAGGATATTTCGATAGCACTTTTTCTGTAGATTATAATGTGCTAAATATTAGCCGCAGGTTTCTTTTTAAAGGAAGTAGAACGGCGAGTGAATTGTGGAAAAATCTTGTCGTCCCAAATTCTACTCGCCATATCTACAGGATACGAAGCTATCTTGCTGAGCAGATGTGAGTTTTGGAATTAGCAGGTCGCATAACCTCTACGGGCAAGTTTTCCTATATGTTCGGGTTATTCCATTTTTTCTCGTTTTACGCTCCGGAAGCTCGCCGATGGATTTTGGTCAAAATGTTAATGCTCTTGAATTGTAGGGAAACTTCGCTTATAGAGGTTTTCGAACACGCTCTTTACGAAAATCATGGTCTTTGAGGATTACAGGGTCTTTTTGGAGAGATACGGTGATGTGACTGTAACTGCATCACGAAAGTGCGCAACTTTACCCGCACTTCTCGCGTATCTGTCAGAAACTTGCCCGCTTGCTTTTCTCATTCAAAGTTACTAGGAATTGTGCTATCGAATGGTTCATTACTCAGGCTCTAGTCTGTGAAATTCGCCGAGTTAACGAGCCTACGAAAACATGTTTTCATGAATTTTGCCCAAAATGTAAAGATCGCATATCTCGTCGAAATTTCTCCGTGAGCGCTTGTATGACGCTCGTTGCAGATATTATGTTCGCTTCGTCAAACGACTCCCACTGTACTGAATATGGTGCTTGCGTCTGCTTCAGTTGCTCAATTGAATATCAAAGCTATTTCGTGGCTAGAGCCCAAAGCACCAAATCTAACACAATAAGATTCATTAAAAGATTCCAGATACTTTACAATCTCAGAAAACGAATGTTTTCAAATGCAGAATCAACACACTTGATCTCTTACGTTTGAGGCATTCTGAGAATGAATAATGAATAGCACCAATTCGTCATCTGTATTGCTATAGCTGGCCATGTGCGATTACATTATCCGACCACAAAATGCATACCAAATACAACCATCAATTTGTGTTTTTTTAGATATTATTTTCTTTTAATTGTCTTACTAACCCACATCTTGCTGTTACGTTAGTTCGGGTCTAATCAATTTACTTCTCTTCCCAATTATTACAGCTTGTTGACTTGCTCTTAAATGAATTACAAAAAGTGAAACTATTTGATATTCTTTCGGAGTCATTGGACTCTCCCCGGAATCATTTGGGCAAGGTTGATTGGTATTACTGCACCAACCGAGCCCCGCTTTGCTTCATTATTGCAAGAGCATCTTCTGCTGGCAAATGAGTTGGCATGATTGCCATCTCCATAGATTACAATAACCTAACTTGATCACGCTCACGTATGAGTTATCCATCATTACAACCCTTATTGAAATTCACTTGGAGTCACTGGCTCACACTTACTGGTTTAGTGGGGTCAGATAATATACCCACCATCAAACCTTGTTTGCTTGTTAAAATCAAAATATTTTGCTGGCAAAGGGGCATGGGTGCATCTCCATGAATCGCATCATTTATTTCCGATAATTATAATCATAGAGCAGTCAAATACAAGCTTTCATCACATTTTTATCAAGACCTAGACCTAAACTAATGCTGCACTATCGTTGCGGTTAGACTATAAATGACTGCTTTCTATTCTATTGTATGGAACACCAAGAGCGTGTAGAATAAATAAATAAATAAATAGAAATAAAGGATTTGATCAGCGCTTTGTACAAGCGCTCACGGAGAAATTTCGACGAGATATGCGATCTTTACATTTTGGGCAAAATTCATGAGAACGTGTTTTCGTAGGCTCGTAACTCGGCGAATTTCACAGACTAGAGCCTGAGTAATGAACCATTCGATAGCACAATTCCTAGTAACTTTGAATGAGAAAAGCAAGCAGGCAAGTTTCTGACAGATACGCGAGAAGTGCGGGCAAAGTTGCGCACTTTCGTGATGCAGTTACAGTCACATCACCGTATCTCTCCAAAAAGACCCTGTAATCCTCAAAGACCATGATTTTCGTAAAGAGCGTGTTCGAAAACCTCTATAAGCGAAGTTTCCCTACAATTCAAGAGCATCAACATTTTGACCAAAATCCATCGGCGAGCTTCCGGAGCGTAAAACGAGAAAAAATGGAATAACCCGAACATATCGGAAAACTTGCCCGTAGAGGTTATGCGACCTGCTAATTCCGAAACTCACATCTGCTCAGCAAGATAGCTTCGTATCCTGTAGATATGGCGAGTAGAATTTGGGACGACAAGATTTTTCCACAATTCACTCGCCGTTCTACTTCCTTTAAAAAGAACCTGCGGCTAATATTTAGCACATTATAATCTACAGAAAAAGTGCTATCGAAATAGCCTTGCTGGAATGTGCTCGGGACAATGCTCGCTGCTTTACACCTTCGCGAAAAGACGTCCTCAGAAAGATTCAAGAGTACTGAAATCGAAATATCAAGGACACGCTGTGTATGAGAAGATTCGCCTTGATGAGCTGAGCAAGGCCCTGTTTTCGGATTGAATATATACTTGTTCCGAAGGAAGTTATGGCGAGTAGAATTTAGAAACGCGTGATTTTTCCAAAATTCACCAACGCTTCTATCTCCTTTGAAAAGAAGTCTGAGCCTACTTTTTAGCGCACAATAATCTACAAGAACAGTATTATCGATTAACACTTAGTAAGGTCTTCTATGTTGGGTAGGCGTTGCTTCACATATTCGCGAAAGGACCTCCGCAGAACAAATTGAAAAAACTGAAAACGGATATCGAAAACATCGTAAACCCACTTCCAATATATCAGAAGATTCTCCGCGCCGAGCTGAATCGAATGGTGGCTTTGGATTCAGAATTCGTCCACTCTGAAGCGAGATATGGCCACGCGACGCTGATGTAAGGACATGTCCATACATGTATGGACATGTACGGACATGTACGGACATGTCCATACATGTACGGACATGTCCATACATGTATGGACATGTCCGTACATGTCCATACATGTCCATACATTCGCGTCTATTTTTCAAAAAATGTGAGCGGTATTGTATACTACACTAACTTGCTATTCCGTTTTTAGTCTGCTCGATTTTTTTGTGAGAACGGGTATTCGCAGTGGTGTAGCGCAGCGCAAAACACACAAGAAAGACTTTGGTAAGTACGATTCGGTAGAGCTGGTTCAGTAGATTATCATGCCAGCAAGTAGCCGCAGGCCTTTTTTCTAGCGAGAAAGCTTGGCCGGTGAAACTTGTAAAAAATCATGTCTCCTTATTTTTACTTACCGTAATCTTATAGTAAGACGGTAATTTGCAAAGCAGGTGCATTTTTTTAATCAGCGGATTTAACTTCTATGCGCAAGTTTTCCAAGAATTCGGGCCCCATTTTTTTCCGTTTCAGGCTCTGAAGCTTACCGGCGGGTTCTGATTAGATTATTGATGATCTTGGATTGACCGGAATCTTAGCCCATAGAGGTATCAGATCTGCTAATTACGAAAATAGTGCTCTCTGTGCACTGGTAATCCTTTTAGCAGGGGGAGGGGGCATGTTGAGAGAAATGCGGCGATACCACGTAAGATCCTGAACCTGCCTTCACTTTTTGCGCATCACTTGGATAACGTACCTGCTCCTTTTTATACATTGAAATCATTAGAGATAGTGCCATCGAAACAAACTTAAGCCAGGTCCTTATCTGTAGTGATCCCCAGGCTATGAGCTTACGAACACACGTCCTCATGAATATCGTCCAAATTTTGAAGATCGCATACTTTGACCAAATCGTCGTGAATGATTACAAAACTCTCTGATTGCAGAAGGTATTGTGTTTATTATATTCATACAGATCGACAGTTTTGAAACTGCATAGTTGATTCCCCCCCCCCCTCCTCTCCCCCT